CACTTCCAGTCTATTTTGCTCTGGTTATTTGGAGATGGGGTCCCACTAGTGCCAGGTGGGATTGTTGTTTGTTGATTTTTGCTTTTTGGGAATTTTTTGAGATGGGTTTGCACTCTGTTCCCCAGACTGGCCTTTAACCCCTAGGCTCAGGAGATCCTCCTGTCTCAGCCTCCTGAGTAGCTGGAACTATAGATGCATGTCCTGGAGTTCTATCTTACACAATTCTTATAAGGAGTCTACTACATAGATCTTATTGTTCTCTCTATTTTGCAAATGAGGAAAGTGAGGTTTAGAGAGCTTATGGAATTTCCCAAATGTGATGCAGCCAGTAAGTGGCAGAACCCCACCAAACCCACCTGTGCCATCTCTCTTACCTGGCAATCTGCATCACTCTTCCCCAGAAAAGGGCATTCCAGTTTCTACATGTTTACTTAAAGAGAATGATTTTCTGCTTGGCTGGGGACTAAGTCAAAAGAAAAATTTAACCATAAACCCATCCTTTTATCTGAATTAACTTACTGATGCTCTTTCAACTATTTTTAATTCAAAAAGATATTAGTTGAGTTATTTTCATTATTCTACAAGGAAATTAAAGTCCCTGCTTACAGTGAGCCTTTCCATCACCTACAGATCTAAAGAGTGCCAATATATGTTTATATTTCTCTTTTTCAAATTACAGGAAACAACTTTCTCTATAACCCTTAACTCTATAACTGAATTGACATCTCCACTTTCCCTCATTTGCATCAAAATAAGGTAAGATCACTTAAGTGCAAAATAAAAATTTACATTTAGCATAACTTCAATAATCTCCATGATACAGTCTTCTTTTACAAAAATAAATTGAAGCATTTAAACAGTGAGCATGCATTTCAAGATTAAAGAAATAATCACATTCACTTAAAAATTCTTTTTTTTTTTTTTTGGAGAGGTTGTCTACAATTTCTTTTCCTATATATCAAAAAACACAATTCAACTTTTCTAGTCAAGCACTAGAAAATATACCATCATTTAACAAAAATGTTTAGAGAAACTAACCAGCAATAAAAATGTACACGAATGTAGTCGTATTCCTTCCTCTTGCTTCATATAAATAAGAGAACAAATGATCTGAAGAATGATGACTCTCATAATTTCAGTATGATATTCCTTGGAGGGAATTCCGAAAGCAGGAGGGGCACACAGACGAAACGCAGTTAGCAAATGATAGCAAAAATCTGGTACTACTACTAGGCGAAGTTTAATTAAAAGGATTCTTCAGATGTAAGAAATGCAATTCCTGAGACTGGGAAAAGACATCCAAATTTTCCCGACTCCACCCTACTAAGAAACCATCAGTCAATGTAGCAACCCAGAAACACCTTTTCCTAGAAGTCCAGAAGAACCGCGACAAGTCAGGGCGTCCTCATTCTATTTTGCTTTGGCACAACCTGCCTACTTGCTGCCCTCGCTTCCTGGCACTGGCCAGCCGGACTGGGAAGTGGGATGCTGCACCCGGCGACACTGAAGCTAGCTATCTCTGGCCGGGAGCATCATTCGCAGTCCCACCTGCTCCTCGTCGTCACCGCCCGGCCTGACACGCACGTTCACACCCTTGTCAGAGATACCTCCCCCACGGAGCAAAACCCTAAGATTTCTCTTCCGCGGGACACAGCGCCAGAAGAGCGACTCTGGACCAAACCCGAGAGAAGCTGAGGTTCCTGGTGCGCTCTTACCTCCAGCAGACACAACGATCGCGTCCACAGCTCCAGCATCCCGCTCTGCGCGGGGCCACCCAGGCCCACTGGAGGCAGCACCGGCCCAGCCGGGATGCACCCGGAGGGACCCCCGCCCGCCAGTCCGCAGCCGCAGCTTCTGCTGGCGCTGGGAAAGCGCGCGCCAGTGATTCAGCGCCTTTCCGCGGTTACCACGGCGACGCGCGCGCGCAGGCGCACACACGCCCTCAGGGATGGACGGCGCCCGCAGCCACCCTACCCAGCCTCTCCCGTAGCGCTCCAAAGACTGGCAGGCGACCAACTCCCAACCTGCGAAGATCAAGATTTGAGGACAGCGGCCTTCACCTCCCTCCTCCTTTCCTTCACCATCATCTTCCCTAACAGTATGGTTCTAAAAGGACTGGAGACTTGAAAGCTCCTTCCAAAATAAATGCCAGGGCCAGGGTGGCTCAAGAGTGTGGGATACTAAGACCCTTTGAGAGTGTGTTCATCAAACCGAAGTCAGTATGTGTAAAATGAACGTTGACCAAGAAGTCCCTATCGATAGATCAGTAGTGGAGGTGTGGAATATGGAGTTTTCTTTATTCTAAGTGGTTAACACCACAATTAAAGAGTATTTCATGTTATACTGATTTTAACATAAAATTTCCTTTTTCATGGAGAATTTTTTGGGGGGACAGGGTCTGACTGGGTAGCCCAGGTTAGCCTCAAACTTCTGATCCTCCTGCCACAGCTTCCCAAGTGGTGGGATTAAAGGAGGGCACCACCATGACTAACTCCTTCATGAAGAAACTTGTTTTTTTATGGTATTAGGGTTTGATGGAGAATCTTGATGGAAAGTTTAACCTGAATAGGATAGTAGTTTGTTGAAACACCTTTCAAACATCAGATGTACTATGTCCTTCAATACAATTATGTGTAAATTATGTGTAAATACAAAGATGAGTGAAACTTGTTGCTTCCAGATATTGGTGGTTAAATGAGAAATGGGAATAAACACAACTGGCAAGGCTACATCTTACCCGTCTAATGAAAAATGACTTACAATGCTTCATATGCTTAAATAAGTAAGCTCCTTCACATTTAATTAAAAAAATAATAAACCTTGTAAAAGGTACTCAAAAACGTAAGTTGAATAAAATCATTAGCTACTTTTTACCCTGGATTTATTAAGTTTGCCTTCAATAAATTAAAAAGGGTCTGAGAGTGTAGCCCAGTGGTGTTCTTGCAAAGAAGTACAATAATTAAATGTGCATGAATCTGGATTGGATCTGAATCCAATTTTCCTCCCTTTAAATAACACATATAGACAATTAAGTGAGCTAGAAAAGGGCTACAGACTGTTGTGTGGCAGTTGGTTTCCTAATTTTGACTATGGTATTATAGCTATGTAACAGATGTTCCCTGTGTTTCAAAAATCACCTTAAAATCTTTAGGGTAAAAGGCAACATGTCTCCAGGCACTGGTGGTTTATGCCCATAATCCTAGCAATTTGGGAGGGTGAGATTGGAAGGATCGAAGTTTAAGGCCAGACGGGGGACAAGTAGTTCTGGAGAGCCCATCTCTAAAAATAATCACAGCAAAACGGACTGGAGGTGTGGCTCAAGTGGTAGAGCACCTGCTTTGCAAGCTGGGGATTGTTAGTCCCCAATCCTAGTTAATTCCTGCTTCTCACAATCACCCTCTGAAACAGCAATTAACTGGAACCCATTCTAGATTCCAGGATTCTCCTCAGAATTAAACAGGAAACCAAACCTTACAAATGACATTTCTTCATTTTTCTTCTCCACAGTACATCAGTGCATAAAGTCAATAAATCTTTTGCCCCCAGCACTCTTTGGATGTTAGAAGAGGACTTGGAGCCAACATGTCTTCTTTTGCTTATATATAACAAATATACTGTCTTGGTATTGTATAACAATGTTAGTTTGCCTCCTTCTAACACAGATACCAGGCCACTGTCTGTCTCCTGGTATTTAGTGAACATCCATTGAGCTCCTGTTACATGCCAGACAGGTTCTAAGAATAAAATGATGTACCCTTAATACAGTTTTTCTAACTTTGTCTGCTCTTGGCTGGGACATTTGCTCAATAAAAGAAACTATTTTTAAAGTAAGGAGAAACAGATCTACAAATCTTTTTTTAGTGGGACTGGAGTGAAACTGAAGTTTAGAAAAGTTAAAGTACATTCCGTATCAGTAGCAAAAATTGGGACTTAGGAAAAAAAAAAAAAGCCACATATTTGCATTGAAGACATATAGCTCAGTGGTAGTCCAGCACGCCTGAGGCCCAGCACAACCAGAAAAGGGGCTTGAGGGTAGCATGACAGTGTTGCTTCACTGAAAGATTCAGAGTTGGAATTTGGCCAAGAAGGAAGGTTAAGTTGAACAAAGTTACCACACTGGAAAATCTCAAGGTACAAACCAAAAAACTCAAGATATCCCATTACTAGGTTTTCAAATCTTTCACTATTAGAAAACTATTACCCATGAAAGACTAAAAGTGGGTTGATTGTTCCTACTCATAACTTGTTTCTCATATTCTGTCATAAGCAATAAACAGAATTTCATATGGATGCGGCAGTATACACAGGAAAAACTTTCATGATTTTAAAGCAATTCAATATGCCACATTTTTTTGTACGTATTCACCCACCTATTTAAAAATGTGGTATAAGGTACAATAGTTCTTTGAACTTAATTCTACCAAATAAGCAATTTATCCCAGATCCATCCTTTTTTCCATGGAAATGAACTATTATGTTACCTCCATAACGTATGCTACTAAAATAGCATCAATTCTCATGGTGGGGGGGTAGCAGTACTAGGGGTTGAACTCAGGGGCTCACCCTTGTTATATAGGCAACTCTACCACTTGAGCCACACCACCAGCCCACTTTTAATTTTTAGTGGTTATAATTATGATTAACATATACTTTTCCAGTCACTAAAAGGGAGTACTGTAGTTACTTCCTTGGCACTTCTGATAAAAATAAGGTTCTACTGCTTCTCATTCTAATTTTTTCCATTGTTTTTGCTTGCTTATTTTTATACTAAGGTAATTCTTGATGGGATGAGAAGCAACAAGGAAAGCTGTTTTCTTCCGCACAAAGGGGGAAATAGCAGCACAGGAACCAGAAATCCTTAATCCCATCATGGACACACACACAAAAACCTATAAACAGGTAAAATTATTTATTTACAGTACAATTCTTCTGTTTTTCTTTAAAGCACATTTAAAAGTACTCTTAAAAAAAAAAAACACAAGAATAGAAAAGTACTCTTTATTCACTTCCTGTTAAATATTTCCATTTTACAAGTAGCAAAAGGCTATTTTTCTTACGCATATTTGTTTTTCTCTAAGGAAAAAAGATTATCTGAATTTGTGAAATATGATTAAGAAGCCCAGTCCCAAGAATTAGTTTCTTCTGATTTTTTTCTTTCTTTTGCTAACTTATTTAAAATTTTACCTAGGTGCCCTGAGATAATGTGAGTCCTAGTTGGAATCCAGATGGCAGCTACAAGCACTATTAAAGGCTCTGACAGACTTCGTGCATTTTTGTTAAATGGCCTCACATTCTGAACACAGGCTTGCTTTAGTTTACATAACTAACATTTAATTCTGAATCCCAAGGCCATAAGCTACAAGATAAAATCATAACTGTTGTTTTCCTGTAATGTTCCAGTATATTAATTCTTCCATATTAAACCTACCTTTCCAGAGAGATAGAAATAATATGTGCAAAAAACCAGACTAAAGCCACCCAAACAATTAAAAGCTCACATTTGAAAAGCACTCACAATATTACATCTAGGCTGCAAAGCAGACCCCAGTGATCGCTGGGAAATCTACCACAGTCCAGCTTTTCCAACCCAAGGAGGTCCAAGTTTCGGGGAATAACGTGGCCCCCCTCTGCTGCTGCTCTGAAGAATATTCGATCGAAACGAAGTTTACAAGCAGCAGATATTCCCAGATTAGAGTTCATCTGTGTGTCCCATGTGTATCGGCAATGCTTGGGTTTGCCCAAAACCTCCCAGATATCTGAAATGTTGTTGGGTAAACCACCACACTTAGTGACCTGAAAAGAAAAACAATACTGTGTAAGATTTATATCTTTTCCCCTAATTTAAAATGGTGTATTTGCCATTACCACCTCTAAATGCAACATTTTAAATTTTAAATCAAAATGTCAAAAATGATTAATGCACAAATGTAAATTAACTAGATACATTTTTTAAAGTATATTGCTACACGGTAATAAGGAAATCTAAAAAAATAGCAAGACAGGAGAGGTTTGGAATTTGTGCCCTCTCTTCTGTCATGAACAGGTGCATAATTTGAGGTGTCAGATAAAACGCTGAAGACTGAATACTCATGGCCTATGTTATTGCTGTTAAGTTTGTAAAAACTAAACTCCAGTGAAAAGGAAAAACTGCTACTGTATCTTATTCTGCAAACTCAGAAGTGTAGCATTTCTATGATTTAATGATGTCAACTGCTTTCACAGTTTTATTTTAAATGTACTAACAACATTAATTCTGCCTTCTCCCATTCACACTATAGGATCTTAAATTTTCTGTGGGTTGCAGATATTTCAGTGGTACAGTGCATCTTAGTGTGGTTCTATCTCCATCACCAAAAAATAAAAATAAAATACATATGTGTGGTAAAATACACACTACAGGGCATCCTCTCTTGGGACCCCTCCCATCTGTGGGAGCTCTATTCTTTGCTACTTTTCTATCTCAGTAAACTCTCCTGCTTTACTCACAAAAATAAAATATGCATTACATAAAACTTGTCATTGTAACTATTTTTATGTGCAGAACTGTGGGACTAAGTACATTAGTATCATTGTATAACTGCTGTCCTCATTCACTTCCAGAACCCTTTCATCTTCTCTATATTCATTAAATACCAGTTCACCACTCCCTTCTCCCAGGCTTTAGCAGCTACCATTCTATTTTCTGTCTCTATGTTTAGGAAATCCATATAACAGCAATCCTGTATAGTATTTTTTTTCCTTTGTTGACTGGCATCATTCACTTAGCACATCATTTTTGAGATTCATTTGTGTCGTCTTATGTCAAAATTTCCTTTCTTGGCTGGTGGAGTGGGTGAAGTAGTAGAGTGCCTGCCTAGCAAGCTCAAGGACCTGAGTTCAAACCCCGTATGGCAAGAAAAAAAAAATCCTTTCTTTTTAAGGTCAAATAATATTCCTTTTTATCTATATACCATATTTTGTTTATATCCATACATCTAACAATTACTTTTGAGTTACCTGCACCTTTTAGCTATTGTGAATTACAATCCTGTGAACATGTAATATACAAATAGCTGGCTTAGGTCCTTACTTTCACTTCAAGTATTTAACTACAAATGGAATTGGTAGATCACATGGTAATTCTACCTTTAATTTTTTTAAAGTCCTGAAAAATCCCAATGTGTCTGAACTAAGAGAAAAGAGACTCTTTTTTAGACCTGGACATGGTGGTGCCAAGAAAAGGAGGTTTAAAAAAAAAGGTTGATAAGTTATTATGATACATCAAGATTTCTGTTCAGATAATATACCAATACATTCTGTTAATCACTAGTGTGACTGAATTTCTTTTGCAACTACTAAAATCTCAAATTATTTTCTGTATACACCTCTTATTAATCCAACATATACACTGTTTTATGTTGTCTACATGACATGTAGTATTTGTTCTCCCCAATAATGTGAAAGAGCCTCTCCTGTCCCTACATACATGGCAAAGGATAAAAAAGTTATTTGTTGATTTGCATTTGCAAAGTCACATGTACATTTTCAGTGACTAAATTTAAATTTATTACCACAGCAATAATCTTCCCACAAACACTGAACTTTGTTACTCACTTCTTGATCCCTTAAATTTGTATCTCCTGCAAATATAACTGTAGCTGACTCTGGAGCGTCTTGCATTTTCTTCAAAACCATTTTAAACTGACTCATTCGTTCCTTAGCATGCCCTTTGGTGCTCTCCAAATGGGAAGTCATAAGATAAAGTTCATTTCCAGACAAACTCACCTGCAACAAGATAAATATAGTTAAACTGACCCACTGATGACTTAATACTGAATTTGAGTAACAGAATCAGCAGATTACTCATCAATACTCAACTGAAACTGTACAGTCAGTACTATCCCTCTAGGTCAAAAGTGAAAGGTGCTAACCCTGCCCACAAAGAAGACAGCTTAGCAAGTAAGACCTACTCCACATGTCACCTCCCCTGTGAGTCCTTTTCCAGTGTCCCCAGGCCATCAGTACTTACTTCTCTAGGATCCTATTGAACACTGGACAGATTACTGTTAAAGCTCCTGAACTGAATTAAAAGTATTTTCCTCCTATTAAGCTGTGAGTTCTTTGCAAGGACAGGTTTTTTTAAATTTATATTAAGGGCCTGACACATATGTACTCAAAAATGTTAACTGAATGAGAATCATTTGTTGCTTACCATTAACAAACTAACAACGTAGGATGTGTCACTATACTAACTGCCTGCAGAATCAAGTCCAAGCCTTTCTCTTTCATGTTAAGAATTCATGCTCTTCAAAAGATGCATGCTCTCCCTCATATGCAGATTATAGATCTAAAACAAACGCAGCAATGTGATGGACACATGTCACACCAAGTGAAGGCTGTGCACAGGAGGGACAGGGCAAGGGAAGGAAATCAAAAACTTGAATGAGGTTGATGTGCTCACTGTACAGCAATGAATATAAAAATCTTAAACTGGCGGGGCCACCATGGAAAGGGGACTAGAGAAGAGTGAGGAGTGCAGATAGAGATGAAACAATTAGCATTGTAATACATATATGCATGGAAACAACACAAGGAAATTCCCTGTGTAGCTACCTTTATCTCAAACTAGCAAAAATGCATGTATTTCTTATTATCTTTTATGTTTTTTTTTTTTCCTACAAAATCAGAGAACAGGAGGGCAGAACAGGTTCTGTCTTGGGGGAGAGAGGGTTGGCACAGATGGAAGGGGGGGTGGTAGGGAAAGGGATAGGAGGATGAAAATGGTGCAAATAATTTATACACATGTATGTAAATGCAAAAATGATGCCTACTGAATGACTCCTGTTCCAGGAATCAGAGGAGGGGGGATGAAAGACAGCAATGGAGGAGGTGAATTCAAGTATGATATATTTGATACATTGTAAGAACCTCTGTAAATGCTACAATGTACCCCAACCCAGCAAAACAAAAAAAAATTAAAAATAAAAAAAAAAGCAGCACTCAATTTTAAAAAAACATTAGGGGGAGGGGGAGAGAAAAGAGGTGGGAGACAGGTGGGAGAAATGGCCCAAACAATGTATGCACATTTGATAATTGAATAAAGGAAAAAAAAAGAATTCATGCTTTTTTATAATCTGGATCATTCCTATTTCTTAACCTCCTGTCACACTACTCTCTACCACACCCAAATGAACAGAAAGCTCATTCATGTCCATACATATACATCTCTTGCAACTTGCCAAAGTTTGCACTTGGTAATTACTTCACCTGCACTCTTCTTAATAATGTCTTATGTGTTTTTCAAGTATTTGTTTTTCAATTCAAGTATCACTTTCTACATGAAACCTCCACTAAACAATGTGGCTAAAAGTTAACTCTCATTTCTCTTTAAACTTCCACAGAATGTCACCTATACTAATTTTTCTGTGGCACTTATGCCCTTTCTCTATTTTAGTTAATATATACAATCTCTCCTTCATTAACCTACAAACTGTATGAGAGCAAGACCTACTTGATTCATTTTTATAAAGAGTAAAACAGTCCCATAAAGAGATCTGAGTGAAAGTATTACTTTAGGAAGCAAATATGGAATGCTAGCAAACTCTCTAATATTCTTAGGAAATATCTAAGAATTTAAGAACTCAATTTTTACAAGTTTGTATTTGAAATTTGTGTAGAGATCTAATTATAAAGTTCTCTAAAATCTATACTTGAGGGCAAATTTTTCTCTAAAAGCAATTGAAAAAAAAAACACCATGGAACTAGTTAAAAAATTTTTAAAAACCTTCAAATTTAAATTACTTACATGCACACACAAAAGATTCCTCATCATTTGGGTATTTGGAAAAGGAATAATCTCTTGGCTTCTTAATTTCACTCTTGATTTCTTCAACATTATGGCTGTAAAATATCCTTCTTCATGACCTTCAAGTGTTTGTGGAAAAGAATTTATATTGAGAAGGTCTGGGGTACTTTCAATTTACCACAAGCTTTCCTCAAAGATTTTATAACAAACAGGTAACAAATATTTAAACAGATCTAGATCTTTAAAGTAAACCATTATTTCAAAATATCTCAAAATAGCCAACCAAATTCATGTTTATCTGTCCCTTTCCAAAGTTTAACCAGAAATATAAGTATGAAAATAAGAAGGGCCAGGGGTGTAGGAGAGGGAGAAGGAGAGAGAGAGAAGCACAGGAGTGTCAAAAATAATTAATTTGCTGCCAATTTACTCCCAAATGAGAAAATTTGAGAAATTTCTGACACAGAGTGCAAGAGTCAAACTGAGGCAAACTGATATGCATTTATGTCTTTTCATGCTAGAAGAAAAACTGTAAATGATATAAAGCTGCAACAATAAAAGAGAACAGGAGAAAGGTGAGGCAGGATAGATGAAGAGACATGGAAATTGTATTATTTTTAATAAATATCCAAAGTGCCCAACTCAGAAACTAAAACCAGGAAGTAAACTAGAAAAAAAATAAGGAGCAGTAAGTTCCCCTCCAATCATATTCTTTTAGATGTTAAATTACAAGGATGGGGAGACATGAGGGGCCTATCTGTATCTGCCTTCTCCTTTAGATATTAAGCAGCAGCAAGGCTCCTTAAATAAGTTGAGACAGAAAAATGGAAGACTTGTCTAGAAAAGGGAAGTCCTAACACTTACCTATATCTCTTGTTTTGGGTAGGCCTATATCTGATGAATAATAAATAGCACCCAAATTAGCCACCCAGAGCCACTGTCTACTGATTAGGAGCTGCAAGAGACATGACCACTGCATTCTACCAGCTCAGAAAGCATAAAGAACCACCATTTTGCATCTTTACGCCCATTTCCTGCATGGGGAGCAGGAAATGTTTCTCCCTTTTTTCCCCATTTCTTCCTACTTTATCTTGTTATATTAAAATAAATCCTTGTTAAAACTTCTACCTTGTGAGCTGCCTTGAAATATTTTTTACGTACTGGTCTCAAGTACCTGTGATTATGCATGGAAACTGGGAAGCTAAGGGAACTCCCTCCTCCAATGACAAGACAGTGAATGAAAGCTTCGAACAGCTTTTCAGAAAACAGAAGGCAGTAGAACAGTCTGGTGGAGTGGCTCAAGTGGTAAGAGCACCTGCCTAGCCAGTGTGAGGCCCCGAGTTCAAACCCAAGTACCACCAAATAGAAAACAGAAAATAATTAAAAAATAACATTTTTTTTTTTAAAAAAAGAAAGCAGTAGGACAAATGGTAACTGGCTTATCATTACAAAGGGAAACCACCCAAGTGCTGATAGCAGAGAACCAGAAGATTTGTTCCACCAAAATCTGGAAATGGTATGGAACACAAGGTTACCAACAAAAGGTAAGGTGCTGAGCTAATAACAGAAGGACCGGTTGACATTTGGATATGGAGTTAAACATTTCCCAGGTGTCTTCCCCAGCCAAATGATCACTACTAACAGGAGACTAGAAGTCTAGAGAGAATTAAATTTTAGAGTCTGCAGACAGTCACCAGCTGCTGGGAGGGATGTGTTAGAGGAAGGGCAAAGAGGTCTAAGGTGTGCTACTGAAAACAGATTAAATGAAAGTATGCCTACTGAAGAAAAAGAGTCTCCACCCTTCTTCTGACCTGCTTCCAGTAGGTAGGCAAAACAAGCACACCACTCCCAACACTCAGAAGACATTTAAAGAATTCTTTATTATTTTGCTTGTTTTTTGAGACATGATTTTACTGTGTTGCCCAGGCAACATTTGGGCTGAAGTGATCCTTCTGCCTCAGCCTCCTGAGTACTGGGATTATAGATGTGCACAGCCATGCTTGTCTGTTGCTTCACATTTAAATGCCAGGTATTAAAAAAGCTGATTACAGCTTAGCATCACTGAGCAAAGATGGGTAGTATACGTTGCCAGGGGGAAGTGAAAGAGTGATGGTGGAGCCCAGTGCTTGTTCTTTGGGACTGTCCTAGTTGTCATTGTGTCGGTATATAGAAGTCTTTAATCTGATGCCATTCAGTTTCCTAAGGAAGAATTCCTGGTACCAGCTACTCAAATTGGAGGCCAACTGAGCTATATATCTGGTCTCAAAAAAAACAACAAAAATACAAAGCAAGCCGTACCCTCTCTAGGGACACCCCCCAAAAAACTCTGGGGGTTCTATTTCCTCGCTTTACTTTCTTCTATTTCAATAAACGCTCTTGCTTTACACTAAAAAAAAAGCAAACCGAAAGCTAAAGATCTCTACACATTAAAAACCAACCTAACAACCAAAACAAAAAGGAAATGAAAACACATGACATTAAAACCTAAAGAAAAAAATCAACTACCACAAAGATGTCCTCAAAGATAATTTACCCATAAACCTAAGAAATTAAAATAATGATATCTAAAAGTCAAGATAGTTGTCAAGAAAGCAGAAACAGAAATAGGAAAGTTAAGAGAAAGATGAGAATTTAAAAATTTAATGCAGAAGATCAACTGCTTAACAGAGGGATTCTAGAAAAGGGAAGGGGGAAAGAAATTATAAGGGGAAAAGAAACAATAGAAAGAGGAAAGTAAAGTGGATAAGGGAAAAAGAACAGGAACCAGACTGGCATCAGACTTACTGCCCTTAATAAAGGAAACTAGAAGTCGCTGAAGCAAAGACTTCAAAATTAGGAGGGACAATTACTTCTACCTAGAAATCTAGTTCATTCAAACTATCAATAACTATGAGCTAGAACACAGGTGTTTTCAAATATGCTAAGCTTTAAAAAGCTTCACCACTCATGCACTACCTCTTAGAAAGTAGTTGGAGAATGGGCTCAAATAAAAGGAGGAAGTAATCCAAGGAGCAAGCAAGGAATTCAAAACCAAAATATCCAAGGCAAAAAGAATCCCCCAGAAGCAAGCAGAAAAAAAAGTCCAACAAAGAACTGAGAGACACACAGAGATTGAAAGAAAACCTTCTCCTTAGCAATTATGGATTCAAGAGTAAATCAAAACTAAAAATCACCTACTATATAAATGTGAAAGTCAAAGGAAACATTGTAGATGAAATTCATGATATGACTCAGGTGCTACTTTAAAGCATATTTAGCAAAAACAAAATAAATGGAAATTTTTTTAAAAATTAAATTATGCTAGAAAAATAAAGTGAAAAAAAGACATTTTGGAAAAGTGTAACAATGAGATTATCACACTTAAAAATTTTTTTTAACAATTTTGCTGAGTAGTAGAGCATGTGCTTAGCATGCACAAGGCCCTGGATTTGATCCCCAGCACAAAAGGAAAAAAACAAACAACATTTTTAACAACTGTATTTTACCAGAAAGCTACTATATGTCTCAAATTTTAGTATATTCTCTTGAAACATCATTTCATTTCAACCACTTCTTCACACTTACTAATATTTGCTACATATATTTTAGTATTCTGTCTGTGCCTTGCTTATTTTTCTCAAACTTACTTGTGCTTTTTATTTTTTTGCTCCAATAGGCTTTTTATTTATCTCTTTCATTGATCTATTTTCCAAAGACAGACAAGTTAACAGGAAAGGTGTTACCTGGAATAATTTCATAAGTACTTGCTCTCTTCTTTAGGTAGCGATAATATGGAGGAATAACTTCCTGTAGAAAAACCACATCTGGGTTGTACCTGATTAAAAACATATAAACACCAAACTACCTGTTCATTTTGAACTCCTAGATGAAGGAAAATCCACAACATAAAAGAAACACAAATGGTGACCTTCCAGGGCACCTAATATTCAACCTTGACACACTGATCTTTGGTAACTACAAAATGAGAAAAGAGCTGTGTTATTTAACACGTATTACAATACTGATGAAATTAAAAAGAACTGCAGGGCTGCTCTGGAGGTATAGCTTATAGCATCGCAAAAAAAAAAATAGAAAATGGAAACCACTATACTGAAAGCCTACAATGTTCCTCCATATTAATAAATGCTTTCAATGTTATTCCTTTTGACCCTCTTAAAAGTTATTATGGGGCTGGTGACGGAGTGGCTCAAGTGGTAGAATGCCTGCCTAGGAAGCGTGAGGCCCTGAGTTCAAATGCCAGTACCTCCTACACATATATATGTATGTATACATACATATATATAATATATATGCATTATAAATATGCACTGTGAAGAAAACCAAAGTTTTTGCCCAAGTCACAAAGGGCCTATGGAGCACAAACCGCTCTTTTTGGTCATTTTAATTTCACAGCAGTAATGACATACAAGCTTACGGTGTAAAACAATTCTAGGAGGCTTCTAGTAAAAATCGGTGTTTCCTCTCCATCTCACCTCCACAGCCTATTCAAAAGCAGCACTCCAATTCTTTCAGATGTTTCTTCTAAGAACTGGACTTTGAACCTAAGTCTAATTCTAAAGTAAGTCCAGAGGCTTTTTATATACACAAGACGCCTGTCACAGTAAACTATTGAAGAGAAGTGAAAATACTTACAAAGCTAAATAGGTACACACCCCTCGAGCCCTCTCTTGCAGACTGTTTACATCCAATCCATCAACGTTCCAGGTAATGAGCGAAAACATGCTGCCATCTTCTTGCTGAGGATTTTCAGGTGGGCTGATTTTACAGCCAGTGAAATCAGTTGTTTCTTCATTGGTTAGGTCAACACTGGCAAGATCAGAATGCAACACAACTTCGCGTATAATCTACAAACTGATTAATTTTATAATCGTTTTGTATTTGTAGTTCTCATTTTGAAGACACAAATTGGGCATCCCTAATCAGAAAATTCAAAATCCAAACTGCTCCCAAAGCTAAAGCACTTCTTCGTCCCAAGTATTTCGGACACGTAATACTTCACTAAAACAGCTCTGAAAGAATCTGCCCATAAAAACAACAACAACAACAAAAAAAAAAACGTGGGATGCGATGATGGCTCACGCCAGTAATCCTAGCTACTCAGAAGGCAAAGATCAGAAGGATCGCGGTTCGAGGCCAGTCCGGGCTTAAAGTTCTCGAGACCCCATGTCAACCCAGCCACACGGGGACTCGGGGACTCCAAGTTCGAAGTGACTGACCGTTGGGCCCCCGGGGTGAAGCGTTAGCCCGGCTGTGGCACCAACTCCACCAGCGGTCACAGGTCGCCAACGCAACCCGACGTAAAGTCGCCTCCCCGCGCCCCCCACCGCTTACCAGGGCTCGGGCTCCGACGGGCTCCCGGGGAGGATTTCCAAGGCGCTCTCCTCCACCGGCGGTTCGAAGTAGGAGTTCAGCGCTCTCTGAAAAGCAAAGGCAAAGGGATGGGGCGAGTGCGCTCCAGCCATCCAGGAAGAGGAGCGGAAGTGAGAAACTGCAAACGCGTACTTCCATCTCCCAGTCGTTTTCAGCCAGGTAACACTGGGCCACGGCGGCGTCACAGCTCGCGACCGAGGCAAACTCCACACACAGAAGCCGCCGTTTCTTCACCTCGGGCTCATCATCCTCCTGCGCGGTCTCCAAGCCGCTTCCGGGCTCCATCATCGCGCCGCGCCCTCACCGCCCCAACGCGGAATGAGCGGCTGACTCATGGCTCTGCGCAGGCGCCCGCTGCTCAAGTGCTCACGCATCAACAGCCCGGCGAGGAAACGCCCTCTGTTTTCCAAGGGCGCGACAGACCTGACGGCCCAGGATGATGGGGACGAACTGCGCGTGCGCGCTCGGTCACAAGAGGGTGCGGAACGTTGGTGCGCGAGCTGCGGGGGACACGGGCGGCGGGCGCACGCGACGCCTGACCTCGAGCTTAAATAAACCAGGGGCAGAGAAGGTGCAAGCTGTTCACTTTCTGCGCCCTTTGCTCTGTGACAGCCGTCTCTTGCAAAGCTCTTTCCTGCATACAGCCGAGAAGCTTGCGGGCTATCCGCGATGAGCGCCGGGGTACTGAATCTGCGGGAAATACTGAAGGTCCTGACCAAAGGTCCTGGTTTTGATAGAGTTTTAGAAAAGGTATTGAAAACGACGCTTCTAATGATGGAAATGAAAGCTCCGTGCTTGGTGCTCGGTGAGCGCTGAATAAAATGTCACTGTTTAGTTTTCTATGCTGGTGAGCCTGTAAATCCACCTTAGCGATGATAATTACTGCGTTGTGCAGCGCCTCTTCCCTGTCAGGTCGAGTATGTAGCTTCTCTGATCTAAAGGTATTTAAGTATGGTAATCACTCGTGGAGACAGAATTCCACCTTTCAGCAACCAAGCGCTTGTAGTGCCTCTGAGGGGGAAAAAAAAGTAAGAGACAACTTGTATATTTAAGGGGCAGTCAGTCTGAAAAATTAGAAGATAATAGTTACTGCTGTAAGGTATGAAAAACTAGTGCTAGGTAGAGTGGTGAAAGAAGAGGCAAATTCTTTTTCTGTTGTGATTTGGTAAATTTCATAAAGGCATTCAACAAAGTCCTGGAGTTTGCCCTTGATGGAAGACAGTGTGCATTTCAGAAACCGGCCTTTGTAAGGTCCAAAGATGTTTGAAGAGATTCGTTTGAGTGAGCAGCGAGTTAGGCAAGGCCAGTCTCGGTCTCCTCTAACATGAACAAACTAACCCAGACTCCTGGGTCACTTCAAGTGACCAAAGTGTCCAAAGACACTTTAGTGTCTTTGTAGAAAACCATTATGTTCCATAGGAAGCATTTATGAATAAGAATCAATAGCAAAAATTGCTTGATATTGTTAAATTGGAAAGACAACCTAAGAACGGTCACAGTTTTTTTCTAAATGTTTGAATGTGTGCATATCTATTTTTTCTGATTAAGATAGAATACTGGAAAGTTAAGAAATTAGTAGTACTAAGGCTTGAGTTCAAGTCTTCCTATGCTAGGCAGGCGCTCTACTGCTTGCATCATGCCTCCAGCCGTAGAAACAACTTAGAAATGAAATTTAAATGCTGATCTCTTCTATAGGTCTTTCTCTGGGAATACGCCACTCAAGCTGTGTTTTAACAATGATTATCAGGGATTTTCTGAAAAACATGAAATAAGACAAATGTATTTGATGTTTACAAATAGAAAATGCTATGTATTGCTTCTGAGCCTTCAGATCAAGTGTAGAAAATGCTATAAATCCAAGTACATATTATATGACAGTATCTTTTGGAAAGATAATGTTATCCTAAAAAGGACATGTTGGTTTAAGAGGAAATTTAAATTCTATAATAAATCTGTAGCAGGGATGGCCAGTGTACCTCAGTGGTAACACACTTGCAAGTGTGAGACCCAGCACCTGCACTGGGGAGGTGAGTCTGTAGCCATTTTTCCTTCTGGAGCTTTCAGCAACCTTGTGGGTAAGTTATATAATAATCTTGCCATAGGTTTGATTGCTTGTGAGTACCTAGTTAAAATCCTTGTCATATTTTACCCTGTGATTCCAGTACTTGGGTAGCTGAAGCAGGATAGTCTCAAATTCAAGGTCAGCCTTGGCTACATAGTGAGATCCTCCCTGAAAAAAATAAAAAAGACCAAGTAGGTATTTTTTTTAAACATTGAATTTTTCATACTTAATCTTTGAAGTTCAGTGTGAAATTTACACTGTTTACAGCATTTCTCCATTCAGACTGGCCATCCTGCATACAAGTGCTCAGGACTAACATGTAGTTGGTGGGTATTAAAACACACAGGTTTACACCCTAATAGTTACTTTATGTTTGATAACTTGATATATAAGAGGTTTTGTGTGATCAGAAAAGCAAGGACTAAAGTATGTATTTGTGTATAGTGATTCATATCATGGATATGGTCTTTATACTGTACATTTTAAGGTCATTATATAGATAAGTGGCTCTCGACTGGGGATGATTTTGCTCACCAAAGTACATTTGAAAATGGGAACATTTTTGATCATCACATTCTGGATAGAGGGGTAGAGTTGCTGCTGGCATCTAGCAGGAGATATGGCTAAGTATCTTATAGTGCACAAATTTGCACGTGTGAACGGGCAGACACCCACTCCACCATGCTCAATAACAGTTCCCTGACCTAAATGTCAGTAGTGCTAAGGTTGAGAAACCTTGGCCTAGACCATTCTCTTAATTTCTTGCTTTGGCCTGGGGTCAAAACCAGTTAAATTGTTACTTTATATTTTCTAAATATATACTGTGCCTTTGCACTGAACTTTGATTTGTTTGTTGAGATTATGAGATTTCCTCATATCTTGGCATTTATGGGACTTCTTCATCTTGATGTGGAAAAGGATATGGTATTTCTCCAAATTAGTGCTTAATGATTCATTATATTAGAGCTGGGAGTGCAGTTCAATGATAGAGTCCATGCTCGAGGCCCTGGGTTCAATGCCAGTACCAAAAAATTTGTAAAATTATTTATAGTACTATACTATTATAAATGTAATATATGATACAAAATATATATTATAGTGTCATTAATATCAATATGTTAATATAAATGATAAATCTTCATGTTAAATTCTCGTTGTTATCAAGTGTGGTTTTTTATAACCTCACTGGGCCCTGACTTGTTATTTTATGAAAAACTAATTGTCCTTCTGGTTATGTAAATACAATATCAGATATTTTTCAAGGCAAGAGACACTCTTCTTTTTTCTTGAAATGTTCATTTTTAAAGGCAGAGTTTTAATGTGTAAATTGTTAAAACTATAAATTGGTACAAGGATATGTATGGCCTCCTAAAAATATGTGTTCTGATTGTGATGCTTTTGCAAAGGTGAGAAGGGATAATGTTTTCTGAGTACTAGAAGAAAGGGAGACGTGTGATACTGTTGCTTCACTTTCCACAATAACCTTATTGGTTACTAAAGAACTTCATATGCAATACTGCCTCACCAAAGCAAAACTGCATTTTCTTCTAGGGTGAAAAGATAGGTCTATTGTGAGTGTTAACCTCTTTTTAATGATTTTTTTCAGTGATAGGCTTTTTAAATAATTTTTAAGTCAATAAATCAAGTAGAATAAAACTTTAAAATTTGGCTGAGAATATTGAGAAGAGAGTTTCATTTTTTTTGGTCAGATGTTTTGACCCATCATATGGAATCTAGTAAATGATGGAGACTTTTATTCCTTTAGAAAAGATGTGTTAGGACTGGCAGAGTGGCTCAAGTGGTAGAACACTGCCTAGCAAGTGCAAGGCCTTGAGTTTAAATGCCAGAATGCCCCCCACCCAAAAAAAAGACAGGAAAGATCTGTTGAAGGCACTTTCCAATCAGTACCAATACAGGAACCAAGTCAACGCATAGGGTCTCATACGAGAACTTCCTTATTTTAAGTCTACTCTCTTTTTAAAATGTAGGTTTTATCAGTGTTTATAAGCACCCACAAAACCTATCTTTCATAAATCCCTGATACAGAAGAACAGTAAAAATTAGTGCTCTATTCTTGCTATAAAGATCACCTTTAAATCAGTGGACAAATTAAATACTGTGGGACTATAAAGAAATACCAACCATAGTTCCTTGCCCTTTACAAATTGATAACCAAGGAGAGGAGAAAAGCTTATTGCAAGGTAGAGTTCCATCAGATGCACCATAAAAAGAGTTTCAGGAATAAATAAGTTCAGAAACTTTGATGTTCTGTCAATTTTTGTTTATAAATTCTAGTAAAATACACATAACATAAAATTTACCAACTATTTCTAAGTGTACACTTTAATAGTATTAGTTACATTCATATTGTTGTGCAACTATCAACTATCACCACTATCTGTCTCCATAACTGTTTACCTCTTGCAAACTTGAACTGTGTGCCCATTAAGCAATAAGTCCCCATTCTCTGTTTCCCCCAGCCCTGGCAATCACCATTTTACTTTTGTCTGTGTGAATTGACTACTATGGTTACCTCAGATAAGTGGAGATGTTGTATCCGTAATGCATATTAAAACTTTTAAGTAACTCTGTAACTTGAAAATGTTTAATTTTTTAGTCTTGGCAATGTGAAAAATTCTTGAGATTCAAATGAAAACAGCAAATGGGGCTTTGGCTTTATAAATTATATATGTATGTATATATTTTTTGAAATAAGCCAATAATGTTTTACAACCCTGAAGTCCTCAGTTTTTTAATAAAAAGTTTAATAAAGTACACAGTAATCTCAAATTGCCACTTGAATCTAAATAAAACTATAAATTCAAAATGTTCAATTTTACATTTAAGTTATTTGACATTGGAACTTTTTCCCTCACAATACCACATGTGGAAATGTGTACTGGAAATTTCAAATGACAGGTACTATGCTAGAATGTAGAATCTAATACGCATACTTGTGTAGAGTCTTCCTGATGGAAATGAAAGATGAAGATGTATACATGAATAAGATGTCTGAAGAACACAGACCAGAAAAGTGGTAAAGATCTAGCACTGAAACTTGAGGACATATAAGACTGAAAGCCTGTGAAGAAGACAGAAATGATTAGAAAGGTTAGAATAAATCTTAAGCTTGTTAGAAGAACTTTAAGACTTTGAATTGAAAATAAAGGAAAAAAAAAGATTGATCACAAAAAGGCAGTGGTATTAAAGTTTGTCAGCATGTTATGACAATAAATACTGTCAAATACATTATTAGTCATTAAAATTGTCTATAAGAAATACACAAGAAAATAACAAGGCAAGATTTTTAGAAAGGTTTATATGCAAAAAATACCATTGCAGAATTGTTTATGGTGTCAAAAATGGGAAAGAAATGTCCAGCCATAGGGAAACTGGCAAAAGAAATCAGGGCAGCTCCATGTGAAGGAGCCTTGTGTAACTATAAAGGGCAGGTCTTCGGGAAGGAGGCATGACTCAACTGGTAGAGCACCTGCCTAGCAAGCATGAAGCCCTGAGTTGAAAACCCAGGACTGCAAAAAAAAAAAAAAAAAAAAAAGACCTTAAAAATTGAGGAAAGTCATGTCTTTAAAAATAACATCGGAGCAGGCCATAACATGATGTGTTGTATGTGACTTTTTTAGTTCGTTTTTTAGTTCATATTCTTAAAAACACATGGCACTTACTGTGTGTCAGGCATTACACACATTGCTAATATGAACTCACATTTTTAAGGCAGAAAATGCAATAAAATTCAAAAAACAATAGTCTGAAAAAGAATTCACCTTTTGATTGGGGGATAAAATCTAATATGGTAAGAGTTGTGGAGGCAAATGGTCTAATAGGTAAGTGAGCACAAAATATAAAAACAGGCTGTTTATAGAAAAATGTAGACTGCCAGTGAACATCAAAGGATGCTTGATAGTACCATTAGTCTGGCTAATCAAATTAAAACTATGTGATACCATGTTTTGCCCATCAGTTTGTAAAAATTTGGAGCAATATGCATTACCAATGAACAATAAGAGAACAAGATATCATTGCTGTTGGAAAGTAATCTCAAGCTGTCTTCCTACTTCAGCTTCCCAAGTAGATAGGACAATGGGTGCACACCACCACAGCAGCCTGGAGTTCTTTCTTGAGAATTCAATTTTAAATAAGTTATCTGAGAAGATGTCACTGAAATAGTAATATTTCAATAAAAACCTGAGCAAGGCATGGAAATCAAAGGGGAAGAATGTTTGGGAAGGACAGTAAATGTAAATCTCCAGGACTTTATTGCAGTGTTTTTGAGGGGTAATCCCAAGGAAGCTAGCAAGGGGGAAGAGTTGCACGTAAGATCATGCATTCATGCATAACTTTAAGGACTTTGATGGCTCTTTTTTTTTTTTCTGGTGCTAGGGATTGAGCCCAGGGCCTCATGAATGACAGGCATTCTACTACTAAACTACATCTCCGGTCCCAAGAACTATGACTTTTACTCTAGTGAAACAGAGCTTAATTAGAAAGGGTTTAAAGTAGAAAAGTGATACAATTTGACTTGCATTTTAAAAGAAGCACTTTTGTTGTTGCTAATATTGAGACTAGACATGAGGGAAGGGCAGAAGAAGAGAAATGATAGTGGCCTGGACCAGAGTGGAATCAATAGGTAGGCTAAGGAAGTGATTAGGATTCTAGATGTGTTTGGAGATACAGCTGTCAGGATTTGCTGATGGAATTGGACAGTGAGATAAGAGGAAAACAAGTGATGACTCCAGGACTTAGGGTAATTTTATCAGTTAGGCTATTTGCCCTAAGACTTTTTAATTATCTTAAATTTGTCATGACAGGAACCATTAGATCTACTAATTTTATTTATGTTCCATGTATCTTGAGTACTAATGTTAGGAAACTTTATTGTTTATCTGGTAGCTGGGATTTTCATGTATACAGAGGTATGCTCAGAAGGGAAGTGAACCACTGAATAGAAGTTGGAAGATCTGAAAGGATCTTTCAGGTGCCTTAGTAGAGCACATAGTCAAAGTTTGTTCAAGCCTTTTAATCTAAACAAAGTAAAAAAGTTTAAAAATAAAAATAAGCTAAGCAGAGCAAGACATGGGGATTCATGCTTATAACCCCAGCACTTGGAAGGATGAGGCAGGAGGATCACAAGTTTCAGGCCAGCCTGGGCTACCTATGGAGACCCTGTCAGAAATAGATAAACTAAACAGAGGATAAGTTTTGATTGCAAGGAGAAAAGTAGCTGGGCAGAGCTTGGAAGAGTAGGGCAGCATGGGTCATATAAACCCCTGTGAAGGCATGAGGTGCATAGAAGAGACAATACATTGAAGACCATGTAGAAAATGAGGCAGATAATTGCATGTGCATGTCTAAGACAATTTTCATGATAAACGGAAGAGCCCATGTGTCAAAGGTGGCCTAGTCATAAAGGTTCACGCCAGTCTATGACAGTAATCCAACCTGCAGAATCCTAGGAATGAAACACATCTGGCCAGTTCTCTTTTGTTAAGCTGTGGCAGGCAAATTTCCAGCTACATGACATTGTAATGAATCAGGATGTAGTTGTCCGCACTAATCCAGGTAAGACATGGAGGAATGCTGTTCTGTATAATGGCTAAACCTGAGATTTAAGAGTCAAACAGACTGTTTTCTGTAAAATGGAGATCATTTCCACTTCCCGAATTTTGGAGATGGGGACAATGCATGTAAAATCACTTGGTCTGATCTCTAATGCTGTTATCTGTTGTTAATAACTTAATAAATGGGCATCCCAGAGCCTGGATCTTAACTAAGGCTGAGGGGTTTTTTTCTTATTATTCTTTTTTTTTCCCCTCAGTGTTCACTCCCTACCCCATTCATGATCAGAGAGATGTTAGCTCTTTATGGGCTTCTGCCCCATCACGTCTACTTATTAATCTCTGGGAGACTAGATAGGACATTCCTTCATTGTTACTTTCCACTGGTTTAATGCCTCTGTTTTCCTTAGGGAGACAAGAATTGACAATACATAAATGCATTTCTCTTGCTATATCAGACTGACAAGTACAAAATTATCTCTAAATGTATATTTTAAGCCAGTTTTGTGTTTTAGCATGTCTTTTGACTTTTTAGACGGGAAAAATGAAACTATATTTCTACAATAGAAAATCTAATTTGACATTTGTTGTACCTTTTGTCATCCCAGCTAAAGTTAGATGATCAAACTATTAAACATACTGTATCGTAAAATACACTAAACTGCCTTGGTTTACTACAAGGCTCTTATATTTGTATTCCTTGACCTGCTGGCTTTTCTCTGTATCTTCACCCAACTCCTGCCTGTTCTTCAAGTCTCAAGATGTCATTCTTGAAGAAGCCTTTCTTAATGCCTCTTCAAAAACATACTTTTGAATGTTAGATTTCTTCAAACAAGGAATCAAAGGTTTACTTAAAGAAAAAAAAACGGTATCTCTTACTTCATGAAATCTGCATCGAAGGACTAGAGGCATGGCTCAAATGGTAGAGTACCTACCTAGCAGGAAACCTGCATTGAGCTGGGAGTGTGCCGCACACCTGTAATCCCAGCATGCAAGAGATCGAGGGAGCAGGATCTGGAGTTCAAGGCCAATCTGAGCTCAACAAGACCTTGACTCAAAAAAAAAGGGAAGGAAAGAAAAAAGAAACCTGTGTTCATTGCAGATACTGTATCTGCAATAGTTTCTTCTTTTAAATTAAACCAAGAGTGCAGATTAATTTCATTTTTATACTGTCAGTCTGATTTAAAGACTCGAGTAGGGCTGTGGGGTGTAGTTCAGTGGTAGAAGACTTGCCTAGCATGCATGAGACCCTGGGTTTGATCCCCAGCATTGCAAAAAATACAGGAATGGGGGATGGGGACATGGGCTTAAGTGGTAGAGTGCCTACCGAGCAAGCTCAAGGCACTGAGGTTTTCAAACCCCAGTCCTACCAAAAATAATTTAAAAATAAAATAAAATACATGAATGAATAAGATGAACTTACACTTTGTTCCTGCATGGTAATTACTACTTCATGAGGACATCTTGTGGCTAGATCATTTATTGCTATAAACAGACGATCCAATTCTAACATTTTTTCCCGTTGATTTACCCGTGGTTTACCGTGTGTAAACCACGACACAGTATTGTTTGGGATAGCTTACGTTGTGTTTCTGGGTCTTTTGCTTCAAAAAGGCCTTTTGTAGGATAAACAATAGCAAAAGCACTGAAGTGGTTTGTGAAATAAGCCTTCCTGGTGCGGGGGAGGAAAGGTCTTTTACATAGCCCAGATTTTGTAAGTAGTAATTAGAGGGACATGAAGGTAGACAGACAGATTTAACTCACTGCCTCTGCCTCCTGAGTAGCTAGGGTTACAGGCGCAAGCCACCAGTGCCCAGCGCCGATGATTGTCCTCGACGGACTGTTTGGATTTGTCTCTTTCTAATGCCACAGAATTAATGTTCAATTTTTATTTTTAACATTTAGGTGACTCTTGTCTCTGCTGCTCCTGAGAAATTAATTTGTGAAATGAAAGTAGAAGAGGAGCATGCTAACAAACATGGCACTCTTCACGGTGGTTTGACAGCCACCTTAGTAGACAACATATCAACAATGGCTCTGGTGTGCACAGAAAGGGGAGTACCTGGAGTCAGCGTTGACATGAACATCACGTATGTATCCGAGCTGTACCCTCCAGAATGCTGAAGCTTTGATAATCATTTCAAACAACCAACACTGAACACATTTATAACATGAAAGGAGCATGAAATGCAATTATCTGCTGATCCTTAATTGAGGCTATACATTTACCATAAAATATTCGATGGCCTTAAAACCTACAATGAAAACAGCTAATTTCAAAGTACAGTCAACCCTCTGCATCCGTGCGGAATTAGCTCCAGAACCCCCTTCCAGATAAGAAAAAGTGTAAATGCTGAAGTCCCTTATATAAAATGGCATGTTATTTATATACAGCCCACAAATTTCCTGTATACTTTAAATCATCTCTAGATTACTTATAATACCTAAAACAATAAAAATGCTGTGTAAAGTTATACTATATTGTTTAGAGAATACAAGGAAGAATTTCTGTACATGTGCACTAAAGATGCAACTTATTTTTTCAAATATTTTCAATCTAAACTTGGTTAAATTCAAAGATGGAGACTCCAAAATACAGAGCTGGGGATGACGCCAAACATTCAAGCCACGAATAGCTTCTCACATATATATACTGGAAGGGATAAAAAATCCTACACTCATGGCTTATAACTTTCAGGTAGTCCTTAAAATTCATGTAGTCCTGTACTGAGTAGATGTGAAAAAAGCCTGAATAAAATTCAAAGGTGAAGAACCTTTCGTACATACCTCACAATCTGTAACAAGGTGAGCCCAGGTGTCAGGCAGCACTCCTAGATCTTGCCTATGCCTACAAAGGCATGCTCATGCTCTGTGGGTTTAAACTACATGGTCAGGGAGCAGTGCCCCAGCAGTCAAGCTGTCATTGTTATGAAAAAGCCTATAGGAGCCAAACTTTTCCAAAATGTAAAAAAATTCAGTTCCAACATTAACTAGTACTGTTTTCAGTCCCATTCAACAAAGAGCAGGACCCAAGGATTTAGTTTCAAGACAACTGTGTTTTCCATGAAAGCAACAAAAAAATGTTTCTTAAGAGTACAGACAGGGGTGAAAGTGCCAATGTTACCAGACATGAAGGTAATGGAAATAATGTAGATTATTGGGTTTTAAGCATCTAAATCTTTTATTAAGCTTATTTAAAACACAGGCGCCCGGAGTGGTGATGCACACCTCACCACTCACAAGGGTGAGACAGGAGGATCCAGTTTGAGGCCAGCAGCCTGGGCTACATAACAAGACCCTATTTCAAAAAACAAAACTGAGGGAGGGAGAGATGATGAGAAGGCGGGAGGGAGGGAAATAATGTCAGTTCCTCAAGTGCCCTTTTGACATTACGATGTACAGAAAAGATTCTGCTTCTGTTACTGGTATTAGCAGTCCTTATTATATAATGAGGGATAAAATCACTTGACTTTGCTTTTGTATTAGGACAGAGAAACCTAGCACTGCATTTCATCACCTTTTAAGATATTGTGGCTTTCAGAACCCTATTTTTAGTAAGTCAAGTATAGTCCTGGCCTTTAAAGTATATGCTACCCAGCCAGGTTCTGGTGGCTCATGCCTATAATCATAGCTATTCAGGAGGCAGAGCTCAGGATTGCAGTTCAAAGCCAGCCTGTGCAAACAGTTCTATCTCGAAAATACCCAACACAAAACAGGGCTGGTGGAATGGCTTAAGTGGTAGACTGCATGCCTAGCAAGTGTGAAACCCTGAGTTCAAAAAATAGGTGTTTGTGTGTGTTACCTAAAGAACTGGCCCCCAAGAGCTGCCTAAAGTTTCAAAAATTGATTCACTTGAACAGAGATGGTCTAGAACATGTCTGAAAGGTTTTGGATATTTCAAAACTAAATACTTCAGTCATTGAACACCTCATGTTTCATTCTTTGTGCTACCACTTGACATACCAAATGTACACTTTTTTTTTTTTTGGCAGCACTGGTGTTTGAACTCAGGGCCCCTGACTTGCTAGGCAGGTGATCTTCCCACTTGAGGCACTTCACCAGCCCAAGTTTACACTATTTTTGTGCTTTTTTATTTTCCTGTGCTGGGAATCAAGCCCAGGGCCTCAAGCATGCCAGCACTGTACCACTGAGCCTCAGGTTATACAGATGGAAAATGGCTATGACTAGGTTTAAAAAAAGGAGGGTGGGGGGGGACCCAAAAATCACAAAAGAGAATATGCTAAGATAAGAATACTGTGACAAATGTCAGCTTCCAAATTCCCCAGTTCATTTTTAATGTCTTCATTTAGAACACAAGGAGTTGCTTATCTTCCCTTAACTTCATTTAACTAATGGCTGTTAGCCAAACTTCTTGATTTATAGGACAAAATTAGGGGAAATAAAAAAGTAGATAAAGTAATATTAAACAATGTTGTTTTATTTCTTTAAATTTGAGGTCCATGAATTCAAGATTGGCCTCTATTCTTTCCAGAAACAAAGTCCAACACACCAACACTTTAGTCTTATTTCGAATTTGGCCAAAATACATATCGTCTTTTAAAGCCCTTGCTTTATAAAAAGCAAATACATAAAAATAAACTGTAAGGACATTTTTTCTCTTTAAAAGTTAGCATTGTTTTAAAGTCTTCATCTCCAGTTTTAAGTTAACTGAATTAAAGACAATTTATGACCAGTTGGGTCATCTCAAATCAGCTCTCCATATTCACAGGTTCTGCACCCAGATTGTGAACCAACCTCAAATGGAAAATGTTTCTATAGTCTTTTTCCTTGTCATTATTCCCTAAATGATATGCTGTTAACTAATTATGTAAAACTTACATTGTATTGAGTGTTTTAAGTAATCTGGACTTGAGCTATTCATGCATTTCTGTCTGTAGGAATACTGGGACCAATCCTCCATGGATACCAAGGGAGATTTTTGGGTGTTTTAGTTTTTTGGAGGGGGGGGGTGGTACTGAGGTTTGAACTCAGGCCTTGTGCTTTTTAGGCAGGCCCTTTACCACTTGAGTAATGCTCACAAGTCCTTTTTGTTTAGCTGTTTTTCTAATAGGGTCTCGTGTTTTATGTCCAGGCTGGCCTAGACCATGATCCTATTTATGCTTTCTGCATAGCTAGATGATAGGCATGTGCCACCACACACAGCTTTTATTGGTTGAGATGGAATTAACACAAACATTTTTTTTGCCTAGACTGGTGTCAAACTATGAGCTAGGATTACAGTTATAAGCCACCAGCCCTAGCTAAGGGATGACTTTCATTACCAGGATTCTTAGGTCCTCATATTCATTCCTTGTAGTTCTTTTATTAAGATACAGAATTAGTAATTTAAGCCGATTAAATGAAAGCTAAAGGAAATCTTTCACTAATCCCAAATAAAGTGGGAAACATAAAGGGGAATGCAAGAAAATGTCATTTATGGGAAAAGAAATGTGGATAAGGTAAGAGAAGCTGATCAGGACCAACCATTCAAATTTGATAGAACAAAAAGCTTACCAGTATTATTACTTTTGGTGATACTGGGGTTTGAACTAAGGGCCTTGCTAAGCAGGTATTCTACCACTGAGCCACTCCACAAGCCCTTTTGTGTGTCTTGGTGTCTTTTGGGATAGGGTCTTTTTGCCTGGACTGCCCTCAAACTATAAGCCTCACAGATCTCTGCTTCCTAAGTAGCTAGGATTACAGGCATGAGCCATGGGTACCATATCATTCTTATTTTCAGAATAAGTTACATAGGAAGGCTGTTATGAGCTTGTCCCAACTTTCCCTGTTAAAAATTATTTGCCATTAATATTTACATTTGTTTCCTTTCAAGGTACATGTCACCTGCTAAAATAGGAGAAGAAATAGTGATTACAACACGTATTCTGAAGCAAGGAAAAACACTTGCGTTTGCCTCTGTGGATCTGACCAACAAGGCCACAGGAAAATTAATAGCACAAGGTAGACACACCAAACACCTGGGAAACTGAGGAACAGCAGAATGACCTAAAGAAACCCAACAGTGAACATAATGTGTAAATTTGGAGCTTCCAAAATAAACTAGTGGAACCAGTAGCAGCTAAGAAGTATTTTCTTTGGGGAAAAGGACCTAGAAGACAAGTAGGGTAGAGTGAAGGGGAGTGTCTGTTCATTTCAAGGATTTCATTTTACTTTTAAATCATATGCGTAAGTGATGAAAACTTGTGTTTTGAAAAGTAAAGCAAAGAAGCTAGCAGGACTACTCTAAAGATTACTAAAGCCCAGTATTACACTAAAGGAGAAATAAACAGTAATAGATACCTTAATCTGACTGGGTAACATATACAACAAATTTTTTACAGCTCTGGAAGCTGCGAATTCCAAGGTCAAGGTTCCAGCACATTGTCCTAGTGGAGACATGCTTGTGTGTGGATGGCACCTTTTCGCTGCATCCTCACATGACAGAAAGAGCAAAGGGATGTTCTCTGGGGTCTCTTACAGGCACTAATAAAAGGACCTCCCAAAGATTCCACCTTCTAAAACCACCTTAGGGCTTAAGATTTTATAGGATTATGAACATTTAGATTATAGCAATGGCCAATCCTTAGTGAGTTTTAGGTCCTTTCCAGCTTTAAAATACCATGCCATATTTCCATTTCCTTTCTATATTATGGAACTTCAAAATAGATGAAGTAATGCCCATATTGGAAAATTACCATAGATATTTCCTAAGTTTGAAGCAAAGCATATTAGTGACCTAACTGGTCCAAACACTTTGGTAATTTATTGTAGGTCTGGCTTGGCACCTTTTGTATTAAAGAGGGAATAAAAGCATCTATAAAAGCACATTTGAATCACCCAGTCTACTGTATTGAAGATCAAGTTCACAAATTACTTCATTTCTCAGTTCTGTGGATTATAGAACCCTTACTAAATTTTACTTCTACATCATTCTTAGTGTACATTTCATGACTAAAGATTGAAAAGGAAGGAGTTTTAAAATTGCTAACAGTCTAGTTAAGATGGCTCAAGCCTTTGCTCAGGAGGCAAAGATCAGGAAGATCACGGTTCTAAGCCTACCCTATCTTGAAAAAACTCATCACCAAAAAAGGCTGGTGGAATGGCCCAAGGTGTAGGCCAAGTTCAAACCTCAGTATGGATAGCAAACAAAAAGATGCAGGCTAATCTGTTTAAAGGGCAGCAGAAGATTCCCTGTAGCAGTGAGCATATAGGAGACCCAGATCTTGATTTCTATTATTTCCCACTAGATTGAACCTATGTTCCTTAGAGAACAGCTGATTCCAGGGCTGGAGGCTGACACAGGAGTTACATCTTACTGTTCAAAGTAAGGAAGTGTTTTCCAGGTATCTAGTAAAAGTATGTAGTGCAGAAATAGAACACTTTGACCAGCAACCAAAATTAACAGCATTAAGGGACAGATGGACAATGCTTCTTTCTAGATGATAACTTGAGAAGGGCATAAACTCAATTTATCCATAAATTCAACTCGAATGCAAAATGAGCAAGTTTTTGTTGGCCTGTAATCCAAAAATGTCAAGATCATTAAACACAAAGGCTAAGGAATTATTCTAGACCAGAGAACAGTAGGGACAAGTCAACTATCAGGGGGATTAAAAGTAAGAATATTGAGATAGTTAACAAAACTAGAATATGGATGGTTAAGTATATCAATGTTATATTCCCTGAGCTTGACAACTACTGGACATCTTTTCCAGCAAACAAAGTATCACTGTATTAAGGGATGAAGAATCATAATGTATGCAACAAACTCAAACGGTCATATGGTTAAGAACCTGGGCTCTAGAGCAAGAAAGCCTAATTTAAATCTTCCACTACTGACATGAAGTTGGGCAAGTAACTCAACCCCTGCCATCTATTGCTACTTAGGATTGATATACAAAGAAAACAGCTCAGAATAGTATCAGACCATAAGAAACATTCAAAGTGTTGTTTCAAATAGTTTCTATTATGTGAAAACACATTTCCAAATTAAGAGTGGTATTTTTTTTTTGGAGGGGGGCCATGAAGCAAGAGGTTAAGGGTAGGCTGCTAACTATTGAAAGGTAACCAAGTGTCTGATTTCTACTCTTGCTGAAGTTACAAACTCAACTGCCAGGTTTTCTGATTCTGCATTTACTGTTCAGCTATAAACTAAGGTGACCAGTAATATCCCCAATGACTTAGAAGAAAAAGTTAGCACTTCAAGCTTTTTATATTCACCTGAATAGTCAGGGAACTTTCACCTATTTTATTTAGGTTTTCATTTTTTCAAATTCCAACCAGAAAAAGCTAAATACAATTGGAAACCGGTAAGCACTAGTTTTACTCCAAAGGAGTAGGATCATTCAGATTTACTCCAATAAAAGTATGCAACCCTTAAGCAAAGCTTTTCTTCATTTAAAAGAAAAAAAAAAAAAAAAAAAAAAAACAACGAAACTATACAGTAGTCTTTCCGTATGTTCATTGCACAAAATGAGTTCTGCTTTTAGAACCTTGACACTCCAGCTATTTTTACAATTTAAAATCCCAACTTTCATAACATTTTTTTATGTTCCAAAAACTCTCATAACTTTTTCTTTAGAATGGTGTAGAAACCAGTTTTCCTGCACAACTCACTGGAATTTTTTCTTTGCAATTAAAATCTCTTTAATAGCAAAAAAACAAAACAAAAACTGAAAAGTAAAGTCCTCTACCTATCATGGTTTCTGCAGCTATGAATGTATTTCTCAGTTTTATATAGCTGCTTTAGCTACTTCAGACTCCATGTCTGCCTTAGTGTGTATAACTGCATCCACACTCAGCAGAATACTTTCAAAACAGCAACTTGGGGAAAGAGATCTGGGGAAAAAAAAATATGTATGTTTATAAGTACCGAGAAAACAAACATGGCCCAGAGTAAAATATAAGGCAAGGATGCCTGCAATGAGATGTTTTTTTTCATTTAAGATTTCTTTCCCATGGTTGTATTTTCTTTTTTTAAACAACCACTTCTGATAACTAGAATGAACCTCACAGTGCTGCGAAACAACGGTGATTATACCAAAGCTATTAAGTTTTTAAAAAAATATTATTTCTACCTCTTACATTCAATTCTCACCCTCTAAATACTGATGACAAATGTCAAAGAGGCAGAAACCAGCACAAATGGGAAGACCATCAAAAATGAGTATCACCTTGTGCTTTCAGATACATTTAAGCATTTCAGTGTACAAGTCCTTTCATTTCACATTTTTGAGAGATGCTGATGCAGTGCAGCAAATATGCAAAGCATCTTCTTTCACACAGTCCGTGCAGAAGACATCTAATTTTTTTAAGTTCTGAGATACAAATGATTTAAAAAAAAATCCAGGATGAACAAGTTTCAAAATGCATAGTATTCTGTGCATGAGTCCATTTTCTTTAACTCTGAAAGAATAAAAGTGGTAAGAAACAAGAAAAAAAAAAAACTGCTGCTGCATTCTCTGATCTCCACTTTGCTGGTCAATACCCTATTCTGGCATGTAAGGACGGAGGTGATCCTCTATGGTGCCAAGTGCCCAGTGGGTGAGCTGTTCTTGTGGCAGGTAGAGGCAGATGCTGCATAACTTGAAGATGGTAGCTTTGTTTTTTGGAGTCTGGGAAAGGAAAAATTTTAATAATCTTATTAGAGTTCAACATAATTGTCACTTAAAGGCAATCGCCCACAATTTATCTTAATACCTATAGCACAATAAACATACAGAGTTAAGGGATAAATTAGTCCCTAACACAGTCTAGTGAGGAAGACAATTTTGCCATGCAAGGTACAGGAAAAATAATAGTAAAAATGATTGAAAATTAAACAGATAATCTATCCAGAATTAAAAGATAAAAAGTTGGAGAAGATTGGTGATAGCAGAAGCTAGAGGAAAGGATTACAAATGAGTGAAGATATAAGCAAATCCTGTGGTTAGGGACAAGAAGAAAGTCAAAGTATTACCATTTAAATATCTGACTTACAGATAACACATGCTAGATATTTTCTCAATTAACTACCCATACCTGATGGCAAAGTTTATCTTTTTCAATACATAGCCTCTAAAAAAAGACAGAAAAGAGACTATGACCCTGCTAATGTCTACAGTCTATATAAATGAATCTATACCAAGTACATATATCAGTTTTGTTTATTTATAGTGCCAAGGATCAAACCCACGGCCTTACACATGCTAAGCAAGCACTCTACCACGGACTGAGCTACATTTAAAAATGTCACAATCTTATGAATACCATTTATGAAAATTAACACATGTTCACAGAATTTCCACTTGAGAAACATCCTCTGGAACCAACATCCACTCAGCTTATCAGACCCAAGGAGACCTTAGTACTTGTGGATTTATAAAGAATGCTGATACACTGGATGCCTCTTAAGTACACTGACTTCTCTGCAGATATCTGAGGGTTCCTCCCTTTGGGCATGCTTTACAGTGGTAAATGGCAGCATCCCTAGTCAGCCCCACCTTTTTTAGTCCAAATTTTAATGGGAACGCTTTTGTTCACTCCTGAAATTTCCTTAACAAGAATTACTTCCCCACTTGATATGTCTTTTGTATGTTCTACATTATTTTTGTAGATTTAAGTTGTTTAAGCTATTTCTTCAAAATTCTATTGGTGTGATCTAAATTTTAAAATTTTTAAATCTTTAAATTACTGTATGAAAGTAGTATTATCTTGTACTGAAGTACCTTTTCATTATTTCAATGAACTGCATAATGTTATTGTTTAACCATACCAATGAGAGATATGTAGGTCAAAATAAATAGTTAGTATCTATATTAGAATCCATCCAGTGTAGCCAGGCCTGTGCCTGCTACATTCAAGATTATCTTTTATCAACTGTTTCGTAACAAAAAGCACAAGATCTCTGCTAGGGGATTTTGACCAAGTCACTTATTTCCTTAATTATAAAATGAGAGTAACAATACTACACTCTGAGAGGATTATTAACAAGATATAGAGCTTGGTACATAATGTACTGTATGTGTTAGCTATTGTCATTTCAATTCCCCCACAAACTATGGAGGTTGAGTTTTCTACATAATACAAATAAGGAACACACCTCCAGCTTAAGAAAATCAAGAACAGAACTTGAGTGGAGGAAGAAGACTAAGAGCTAATTGTCATCTAAAATTAACCATTCTAGAAAAAAAAAAAAAAGAATAAAATGAACCATTCTAGTTTGCTCTGGACTGAAAGATTTCTAGGACTTGGGACTTTCAGTGCTAAACCTGGGGCATTCCAGGAAAACAGACTAAGCCATGCTATGTATACAACCCAAATTTGGCTCATGAACTTAAAATATTCATTAAAAAGGATACAAAGCTGTTTACTTTGGGGGGTAGGGGATGATGAGGTTTGAACTAACTGCTTTGTGCTTGCTAGGCAGGGGCTCTACTACTTGAGCCATGCCTCCAACCCAGCTGTTTGCTTTTTAACCCACAGAAAAGATCTGCCCTTGATACAATAACAGATGATTTACTACTTATATACCAAAATAACACTGATTTCTATATTGTACTGATACTTCATAATACGTTCACAGGAACATGAAGGGTAGTTTATCCATACTAGTTTATTATTTAAGCTTCTATGACTAAGAATCTTATGTTGCAGATTTCATTATAAGGGTGTAAGCTTTTAAAACTGACACAATTAACACCACTGCCCTCTACACAGTATTTTCAACAATTCAAGTGAAAGTACACTGCAAGTATTTAAAAAGGGAAAACAGTAATTAAAAAATAGAAGGAAAAATGAGTCAACTATAAAACAACTAACAGAAGAGAACTAAGATGAAGAAAACTGGGGAGGGAAAAAAAACCCATGTTATGCTTTCTTGTGTGGTTTTCTCAAATGCTTCCAACCAAAATTAGCTTTATTTTATAAGTGCCAGTTCCTTCACTTGTACCTATACCATAACTATTAAGTAGCCTATCAGCTTGTTGAGGTTAGTTCTAAGTGATTTACCTTTGTATTTTTTTATTCTTCTGCATACTCTCTCTCAAATATATAGTCTGTAATATATAGTCTGTAATGTAATGAACAGCATAAATACTCTTCTTTTTAAAGTCTTAATTCATTTTCTCAGGCCTTTTCTGATGACAGAATGCAAACCACCATCAGTTTATATCCCTCTACCCTGCTTTCTTTTTCTCTTAGCATTTATTACTATGTATTTTACTTATTTACTACTAGGACTCCAGGAGTCCTAGTGAATCCAGGAGGGTAGGAATTTGTCTATGTTGTTCAGTGTTATATACTATGTGTAGCACTGTGTAAGCTCTCATTTGTTGAATGAAAAGTAAATACAGATGATGCTATTTCTTTAAGGTTAGTAACCTACCTACAAAGCTATTTATAAATTCTAAATTCTAAGCACTTAGGTCTAGGCTGACAGATTATTTTTTTTTTTTTTGCGGTACTGGGATTTGAACTCAGGGCCGTCACCTTGAGCCACTCCACCAGCCCTTTTCGGTGAAGGGTTTTTTCGAGATAGGGTCTCGCCAACTATTTGCCCAGGCTGGCTTTAAATAATGACCTTCCTGATCTCTACGCCTCCTGAGTACCTAGGATTACAAGCGTGAGCCACTAGCGCCCTGCTCAGATCTATGTTTTACAGAAAAAAACTAAACTGGAATATCTGGACTACTGCTTAAGCAGGATGGGTTTATTTTTTAAATACAAATTAACTTATCCCTTCAAATTCTAATTTAAAAGATCCATGCTAGTGCTTCTCAAAATATAGTGTTACAAATCTCCAAGAGATTTTATTCAAAATGTAGATTCTGATTAAGTAGAAGGAGAGTAGGGCCTAAGATTCTGTATTTTAAATAAGTTCTCAAATGATGTTCATCTGCTGATCCTACATCGCATTTTGACCTATTGAATCATGACTTTCAAAATTAGCTCCCCAGGAAATCCTAACATGAGCAAAGCTTAGAAACTCCTGGAGTAATGACCAGGATAGGGTTTATGTTCTGTTTTTAAGTAACTTCAAAAATAATTCCGTGTTGAGGGCAAGCAAAAGTAGGTATCTTATTTAAAAAAGTTTAGTAACCAAAAACCAAAGTAATTTTTTTAAAAGGAAGTTTACTAGTCAATAACCTTTTCAAACAAATACAACCTAAAGTAGTTTTCAAAAAAACCTTACCTGCAAGTGCTGTCTGTCAATGAAGAGAAACACTGACTGGCTAGGATTGTTGACAACAATTCCAGTCTTGTCCTTGCGGCTCAGTACATGCAGAAACTGTTTTTCATAGTCACCGTGATGAAACTCAAATTTGGCCTAATAACAAAAAATACAAATATTTGTATGCAGCTATAAATGTTACACTACCTGAAACAACTACAGCCATACACATTTATCTGACCTGTCCACTCTGTAGCCAAAAGTCACACATGACCACTCAGATTTAAATACATGCAATTTAAAATTCAATTCTTAAGCTGGGCATCAGTGGCTAATGCCTGTAATTTTGGCTACTCAGGGGGCAGAGATCAGGAAGATCACAGTTTAAAAACCAGCTCAGGCAAACAGTTGAAGAGACCCTATCTTGAAAATATCCAATACAAAATAGGGATGGTGAAGTAGCTCAAGTGGTAGAGCACCTGCCTAGCAAGTGTGAGGCCTTGAGTTCAAACCTCAGTACTGCCAAACCAAAAATAACCAAACGAATCTTGGTTCTTGGCAGGTGTGGAGGCATATATATATGTGCACACCCATAATCCCAGTGCTCAGGAGGCTGAGGCAGGAGGATGGTGGTCCCAGGCCAGCCTGGGATGCATAGCAAGAATCTGTCTGACAAACAAAAACAAAATCAAATAAATTCAGTTCTTTAGTAACACCAGACACATTTCAAATGTTCAACAGTTGCATCTGCCTACTGGTCAGCACTTTAATCTCTACAGATATAGGACATTTCCTTCACTGCAGAAAATTCGATTGGATAGCACTCCGATATATAATTTGATTTTCAAGGAAAAGCTCTCCACCAACAGGACTAAGACCTAATACTCAAAGATGTTAAGCCAACATAAGAGTCACACTTTCAATTCTACTTGGCTCAAGACTCCTACCATAGAGTACTTTAAACCCCAATGACATCCCCTTCCTTTTGAATAGAACTCTATGGCTCTTATAAATGAATGTACTTATTACAAACTCAACTGAACATCTATCTCACCGGTTATGTGACCTGAAGCAAGCCCTTTAACTTTTCTAAACCTCATCTTCCTCATCTATAAAATACAGCTCTAACACATTTCAAAGGACAGTTAATTAAATAGGATTAAATGAAATAGCCCACTTGTCAAATACAGTTCTACTCCTCACACCGAGGGGTAATTTCAAGGGACATAAGACCCTTGAAATTAAAGAACCTTTACGTACTTTTTGCCTATACTCAGACTTCAACTGCTTAAAAAAAAAGTTTTTAAATTATCAAACACTATAATCAAGTAAGAGCATCCCTTTAATCTTTTTAACATGAGGAAAATCAACTTCCTTCCATAAAATGTCTGCAGGCAATGGGAGGACCAAATATTGGGCAAAAAGACCAGATAAAAATAACCTATTTAGATAATACTGAACTGTAAATATGATTGTTAGTCCATTTGATTAGATTAACTTTTATTCCACTATGCCAAAAACAGTAGGAAATATAAGGATAGAGGAGCTGGAGCTTCATCCCAGGCCTTGTGCATGCTGGACAAGTGCTCTACCATGAGCTACATATCCCCAGCCGCTTTTTTTTCCTTAACACTGGGGCCGGACCCAGGCCATGCACACAGTAGGCAAAAGTTTTACACTGACCCATAACCCCAGCCCTCCCAGTAGTTTTTCTTATAAACCATAAAATATATGCTGTCCTTATATACTATTATATGTGCAGTGATATTCAACGGTACTTCTACAATTCAAATGCTTACTAAATCCTTGGTATTTTCCTAAGTATATGAAAAATATGCTATTAGCTACTGAAAAAGTGAATTTATTTTAACCTTAAGGGGCTGAAAAAGATACAGTCAAACATAAAACATTAATTTGTTTCAAATCCTTTACTAGAATAAGATGTGGTTATTATTATATCTCAAAGTGCAATGAAAGAAAGAAGCACTAACAGTGTGCAATTCAGGAGTACTGAGTAGTAATTTGGGATTGTGCCTTGAGAGCCAATCTTCCCAGGGAAAAAGTGGTGATGGTAATTTAGAAAATGCTATTCTAAGAAACAGAACCAAGCACAAATGTGTTAAAAATTGAAATACTTATTACTCAAATAAGAATGCTGAGAATATTCCAATATGGCAAATACCAGGGAAAATTAAGGCAGCCACTCATCATAACGAAAAGCAGTTTGTGAGACTGAAAAAGGCTTTCCGTATAGTTCTACGGTGTTTCAATTCTACTCTAGTGAATTCCTTCTTGGGGAGGGAATAGTTCACACCAAACCAAACAACTCAAGATAAAGGAATTCTCAGAGAAGGAGTAATGAGATATTCTAATAGTAGGAGAAAGAGCTAACCTGGGCAGTAGCATCAGTGATGAAAAGGAAAGATTTTAATAGTACTTCCCAGCACTTTATACTACTAAATATGACAAGAACTCAGTATTTAAAAACAAACTTTACTCTGGTTCCTGTTAAATCTCCCGGTATAAGTGTTCAGATTTTGCCAGGCACTGGTGGCTCACGCCTAAAAATCCTAGCTACTCAGAAGGCAGAGATCAGGAGGATCAGTTTGAAGCCAGCCTGGGCAAATAGTTTGCAAGATCCTGTCTTGAAAATAACTAACACAAAAAGAGCTGGTGGAGTGGCTCATGTGGTAGAGTGCCTACCTAGCAATCCTGAGGCCCTGAGCTCAAAACCCAGTACTGTCAAAAAAAAAAAAAAAGCATTCAGATTTTTAAGTGCTTAAAAGAAAAAGTCTACAAGTCAAAATTTACTTTTTTCATTGACCTTAAGACTTCTCATTCAGGATATTCAGAGTGGACACCTCTGTATTCCAAAGGTTCCATGTCTGCAAATTAACCAATCTCAGATTGAAAACGTGTGGGAAAAACAAAAAAAATCTTTACAGTTTTTTTTATTATTCCCTAAACAAAACAGTGTAAACTACTTATATGGCATTGGGTGTTACAAGCAATCTAGAGATGATTTAAAGTGGAGGGGTGATATGTCCAAATAAAACATATTTTATTTAAGAACTTGATATCAGCTACTCAGGAGGCAAACATCAGAAGGATCGCAGTTCGAAGTCAAGACCCTATCTCAAAAACACCCATCACAAAAAAGAAGAGCTGGCAGAGTGGCTCTTGGTGGTAGAGCACCTGCCTATCAAGTGTAAAGGCCTAGTTTGAACCCCTCTACCACAAATAAAAAGCATTCACAGGAATCTGAGAACCAATCCCCCCAGGATACTGGGGTGACTGTATTTTACATTTCTTCATGGAATTAAATTAGTTTCACAGCAATACCTTATTTACTGCAAATGAGTTCTAAAATTACAAAAGATGTTACCTATATCCTATATGTTATAGTCAGTCAGAAGACAAGGTAATTAGTACAGTGAACTTTTAAGAATATAGGGTAGCGAGGTTATGAACATAAGCTTAAGTCAGTTCAGGCTTTTATCTTGATTATTACTTAACTGAATGACCTTGGGCCTATTATCTACCTTGTCTCTAATTGCCTCAGTTTTTCTGCAAAAGGTGGCTCCTATCTATGTAGTTATTATAAGGACTAAGATTAATTAAGTATGTAAAATATTTAGTGAACTTGTAAAAAAGGAGGAGGGAAGAGAAAGGGAAGTTAAGAAAGAATATAATGGGGTGAATTTGATGAAACTACTTTATATGCATGCTGTAAATATCACAATAAAACATGTTTGTACAATTAACATATGCTAATTTAAAAAATTAGCAGAAAGCTTAGCACACAATCAACACAAGCATTAGTGATGATTTCAAAGAAAAAAGTAGTACCTAAGACAAGAGTATTTTCACTATATTTCAAATAAGGTCCCAAAGAAAAGGATACTAGAAATTCAAACATATATACCACCCATTTTTCCTAATGGAAAAATCCTAAACTAAAACAAATGCAGTGTCACTGGGAATGATGGTCAAACCTGCAATCTCAGCAATTCTGGAGGAAGATAGGAGATGGTTCAAGACCAGCCCAGGCAAAAATTAACAAGGCCCTATCTCAAAAACAAGCCAGGTGTGGTGGAATATGTTTGTGGAAGGTGGAAGAAAGATCAAGGTCCAAGATCCTATCTGGAAAACAAACTAAAACTAAAACGGGGGGGGGGAGAGGGAGGACTTAGTAAAAGAACTCAGGGAAAAACGTTTGCAAAACCCCATCTCAATGGAAAAAAGCTGGGCATGGTAATACATACCTGTCATCCCAGCAACTGCGGGAAGTATAAAATATAAGTAACCATTGTCCAGGCAGGGCTGGGCAAAAAGTAAGACCCTATTCCCAGAACAACCAGAGCAAAAAGAGCCAGAACTGTGACTCAAGCAGTAGAACACCTGCCTATCAAGTATGAAGCCTTGAGTTCAAGCTCCAATACCAAAAAATAAACCACTAACACTGGGAATGGAGTTACAGCTTAGTGGAGCAGCATGTGCTTATTAATATCTATGAGGATTTCAGTTCAATTTCCAGCACCAAAAACATACTACTAAATTTACTTTTCTTAAAAAAAAAAAAAATTTTTTTTTTTTTTTGGTGGGCCAGGGTTTGAACTCAGGGCTTCATGCTTGCAAAACAAGCTCTACTGCTTGAACCACACCTCCAGTCCTACAAAACTGTTTCTAAACCTGTTATGAGGAGTGTGCATGGTGAGGGGAACAAACTTATCCAGACTCTCTCGATAACTCCAATGTCCACCTTAAAAATTTTCCTTGGCCCTTGTTTCCAAGATACACTAGACAGAATAATCTCAAGAGAGTCCACACTCCAAATGCTTTTTTCTCTTACATCACAATATCCAAGAGGACAGAAGGGATTTATGGAATAAAACTATCAGGAAGTACATTCCCAAATAATTTCTTAAGTTAGACCCCATTGTAAGAGTTCTCACTTACTGAAGTGTTCACCACATTTTATTTTAGAATACAATACCTGAACAGGCCTAAAAGGCTCATCAGATTCTTTCCACCTAGAGAACAGGAGACAGACAATTTTCTCAATATCATTCCGAGGCCAAAGAATGAAATCCATCTCCTGAGTACAGCCAATTACATCCTGCAAAATGACCAAGGGAAAAAAAAATTTTAACTTTCAAGGAAAAAAGCTGTAATAAGCAAGCAAACCACTAATTATAGGCTTTGACTAAAGAAGCATTCTACAAGTACAAAGGCCCACCATTTATTATTTTTTGTGTATGTGGTACTCAAGGCCTTCACCTTGAGCCATTCCACCAGTCCTATTTTTGTGAAAGATTTTTCGATAGGGTCTATTGTTTTTGTGTGGTGGGGTTTATTTTTTTGGTTTTTTTGTTGTTGTCATTGTTTTGAAATAGGGTCTCACAAACTTTACCCAGGCTGACTTTGAACTGTGATCCTCCTGATCTCTGCCTCCTGAGTAGCTAGGATTACAGGTGTGAGCCACCAGCACACAGCCTCATTTTGTATCTTAACATGTAAAGAGTAACAGGACTTATATATGCAATCTAAATAGCTCATAATCTAATCTTAATTTTTATCTTGTAGAATCTACAAAGACATTCAGTCCAGTGTCCTTCACAAGACCTAAATTCACTAGTACACAGTTAAATCTCAAGTATGTTGGAACGTCTAATGTGAATCATCTTATTATGACTGAAATGATATTTTTGTCGTGTTGACAAAAAACTGCTTTTCTCTATTTTTGTTCCTATTTATTGTCATAGCCAGTGTATCTATTTTCAAAAGCCAAAAACCTCTTCCAGACCAGTACAGTGCCCCAACTAGTTGTTCAAATATGCCCCAGTTTAACTTCCAATGTGTTTCAGAAGTTTCAAATTTGACAGCAACATATTTTCATTTTCACTTTAGCTTTCAGCACGAGGCTAGTACTCCACTCAAAAAGCACTAATAAAACATTATTTACAAAAAGCACAAACACCACTATTAGCACAATTCCAAATAAGCTAAGTTACCCAGTTTTTATTTGGAGGTAAATTTTAAAACACAAAACCAGTTCAAGAATTTAAAAACATCTTTTTTTCTTTTGTTTTTATTTGAGATAGGGCCTAGAATTCACAATCCTCCTTCCTCAGCCTTCAAAATGCTAGGATTTAAAACAATTTTATGTGTAACCATTTGTTTGCCAAGTACCTAAAATGAAGTGGAGGAATTCCTGTACATGCTTTATCCATATAAGAATGGTTTGAGGCAAAAGCTATATTTTTTCCAACTACATAAACATAGTATGTGTTTAAAGTCTCTTAAAACATGAACCCCTTTTTTTTATTTTTATTTTATTCATATGTGCACATTGTTTGGGTCATTTCTCCCCCCATCTCCTCCCCTCTCCCATCCCCTCCCTCCCTTACCCCTTGCTACCAGGCAGAAACTATTTTGCCCTAAACTCTAATTTTGTTGAAGAGAGAGTATAAGCAGTAATAGGAAGGACCAAGGGTTTTTGCTAGTTGAGATAAGAATAGCTATACAAGGAGTTGACATGTATTGATTTCCTGTACATGTGTGTTACCTTCTAAGTTAATTCTTCTCGAACTAACCTTTTCTCTAGTTCCTGGTCCCCTTCTCCTATTGGCCTCAGTTGCTCTGAAGTATCTGCTTTAGTTTCTCTGCATTGAGGGCAACAAATGCTATCTAATTTTTTAGGTGTCTTACCTATCCTCATACCTTCCTTGTGTGTTCTCGCTTTATCATGTGATCAAAGTCCAATCCCCTTGTTGTGTTTGCCCTTGATGATCCCAGTTCTTAACACAGCAAAAAAGGCAAATTTACCTATAGATCCGTTACCATAATGACTACCCATTTTCAGAGGGGGAAAAAAATCCCACAGCGTAACTCACAAAACTTTCCTACCAAGACTATAAAACTTACCCTTCTCATAGACTGGTATCGAGGAGCATGGAGCTGTACCACATCCTTCTGTAGAAGCTCTATGGAACTTTCCAAGGAATAGCTGGAATCTCGCACACCTTTCAGGATATTTTCTTCATAATTATTTGTCATGACTGGTATAACCTCAGACACTTCAAAAAGTGCTGATTTTTTCTTCTAAAAGAGAAAAAAGTATATTAGCCCTATGAGTATACTATCAGTATTAACACCCCGCTTATATAATGTCAAATACCTTTATTCCGAAGTCAGCAAAATTCTTAACTATCTCAAGTACTTTTTATACAGAAAATGTCTTTATTCAGATAGTTGGATCTTTCTGTTCTTCTTCCATTCTCTCTCCAACCACACACAAATAAGACTATTTTTAGAATGTTTAACTTCTCAGTTTTATAGCACTATGGTATTGTACCAAGTACTTATAGAGAAAATGTTTAAGACACTCTGAGGAACAGAGACCAGGCACCCCAAAGTTTAAAAAACTTCGGTGATATTAACCGATACAATTTCACATATCTAATTCTACATACAACTTAAAATCTCAGCAGGTCATGAACAATCATGAAAGATCTTGCAACTACACTGGTATGATCCATTCACAGAAAACCAAATTTTCACAAATGTTAAAGAACTAAATGTTATAATTTGGGGACTCTTACAAACTACATACAAAGATCTAGTCTTATCAACTTACACCTTGGATTAGACAGTCTACATTTTAATACCTTCAACTAAAGAAAAAGCACAAGGAAAAGGAAAAAGACAATGTGAAAATCTTTAATTATCAGTCAAACTTGGGACAATTACTTCAACACAAATCACTCTGAAAACACTTTGTGATACTGTTATTACTCTAGCAGCTGAAAGTTCTGTTAAGAGTGTGGGTAACAGCCAGGAGTCTTCCCAATACTACATATAACCCTATTAAGATTATTTTGAAAGATAACCATCTAAGTGCAAAAATCAAAGTAGCACTTTGTCACATTCATAACCTAATCTCCTGACAATTTAAGACACTGTCCGTTTCAAGTTTATCATGCTGGATACTCACAACTCATTATTTGAAAATTTAAATGAGGAACAAATTCTGATTAAGACCAAAAAATTCCTCAAGTCATTTTGAATTTTAAGAATTGCACTTCTAGCCAGGCGGCAGTGGCTACTCAGGAGTATCACGGTTCTCACAAAAATAGGGCTGATGGAGCGGCTCAAGGTGAAGGCCCCGAGTTCAAGCCCCAGTACCACAAAAAAAAGAAATAGCACTTCTAAACAAATTCAGTATTTAATTGCTCCTAAAACTTGAAATGTACTCTATTTCATTTAACATACCATGAAAAAGATACCTACAATCACAAAGTTGAACAGGCCGATTTTTAGCATTTTGATTACAAACATCCTTTTTATATTTTACATTAGATAATTCATAAATTCAGTTTTAAAGTCCCCTATGTTACTCCAAAGTTTTACAATGTTATCCAGCCCATGTCAACTAAAAGTACATCCTACTAAGCTTTAGAATTAAATCATTTCCAAGCCAATTAAAACAGAAGGGCCTTTCAGTCATAATTTTATTCCAACTGATCAATTCACAGAATCACCAATAAGAGTGAAAAACAAGGCAGACTTTCTCCTAACACTCTTTTAACTGACATTCATAATTATTTAAGACTAACAAATAACAATATACACTTAAAAAAATCACTTGTGCTAATTCACATTAAGAACTTTAAATTACCTTCTCCTTGAACACAAAGGCAATATACATCTTGAAGTCAAACTGGTCAGCTAGAGATTCTTTTTTCTTTCTAAGCTGAGCACGTAGTCTGTTCAGAGCTTGTTTCTTCCGGGAGTTTGGGTCCCCCATTTTGAAATACAGGTGGTACTAAAGCCTTTGGAAATTGTCACTAAACTATGGGCACTTTTTCTTAAGACTCAAGTACAACAGAAACAAGTCATTTTTTTCTGCTAATATGATTGAATAGCTAAAATCACAACTGTAACCCCAAAACTGCACCTTCTGACAATATTAGCAGACTGTCATATTACAGGGTCAAGAAACAAAAGCTGATGTCCAGTCATGTTCGGACAATGTTTGGGGTCAAATGGGAAAAAGGAAGGGTAAGAAGGAAAGAAAGAGAAGGAAATACTTGAACTAACTTTCTGTAAAACACATTTGGCTTAACTGCCAAAAATAAAGGCTTTCAAAGGGGAAATGAAAATCCTGATAACAATCAGGATTTAGGTGTGCAATTAAACACAACCGACACCAGTCCAATCCTTGAAATCCATCCGGATTTTCCCCCTTTTAGAAAAGGGATTAAGAAAAGAAATGGGGAGGGGAAAGTGTGATCCTTGCTTCCCAAATAGAGAAAGAAAAAGAAACAAAAACAAAACCCAAATCAGGGTAGGTGAATGAAACTGAAATATCCAATTGGATTTTACCCAGCCAGATCCATGGCTGTAGTACCTAATTAATTCTTAGTTATTTCAGATTTCACTATTGCTATGTATTGTCAGTGCCTGTTATTGATTACACTTGGTGGTGAGCAAAGACAAAAGTGCAAAATCAGTAGAGAAAGAAGGGGAGAGGTACAGGGTTTCCCTGCAGTCAACTACAGTGTATACCGGGGGTGGACAGCTGTTGCCCAAAGGAGCCATGAGAAAAAATAGCGGAGTCATTACCAACTTCCCCATAACCCACATTTTCACCCTGAGGCGGCTGCTAATGCTGCTGCCAAGGAGAACCATGATGGCAGAGGGAAAGGGGGTATATTGTATGGTATTAATAATTATTCCGGCTCTGTGGTTAGTCCTGATTAATGCCAGGGATCCCGACACCCGCAGCCCTGCGATAAGTTCTACATTCCCCAAAGGAGCCTTCCTTATGAATTTGCCCCCGTTCAAGATGGTGGGGAGTGCGATCTATCTTCTTGTGAGCATAGCTGAGGCAAAGGTGGCGGGTTCTCCCAAATCCCAGGCAATGCCCGGGCACCACCTGCCTTCCACCCCCCAGGTCCCACCCCCACCCCTTGCCTTCAGCGGCAGCGACTCACTCGCACCACGGGAGACACAGGATCTCTCAGGCTTTCACTCATTTCATCGTGGAAACAATCCCCGCCCGGGTAGAATAGGCGGGAGAGGGTAAATGGAAAGGATCAGTGAAAAAAAAGAAAGTAATTGTTAATGATAATAATAATCACTTTTTAAAGTAAGCCCACCCACCCTCCCACCAAAAAAAAAAAAAATTAAGTTCCCGGATTCTGGATTCGCTTTCCCGTTCAACAGACCATGTTTCCAGAGTTTGGATTGTTTAGGGTGGGGTCGTTAGTTTCCCGAGGGGACAGAGGGTGGAATCGAGGCAGCTGGGCGGAGTGGGTGACGGGGAAATCCCCTTCCCTGTCCCCGCGGAGACCGGGACTCACGGACCGACTCTCGGACGGGGTTCGGGCCCTCTAGCCGCAGCCTGCGGGCGGAGCGGCGGCGGCAGCGGAAGAGGAGGCGGCGGCGGGGGCGCTGCTCGCAGCACGGGCAGGAGCCATGTCAAGAGAAAACCACCAGCCAACCGAGCCCCTCCATCCCGGCTGCAATGCGCACTGTGACTGGGCCGCCCGCGCTGCTGCCGCCGCTCAGCCCCCTCCTGGGACCCATAGTCTGGCTCGGCGCCCCGGGCGGCGACGGAGGGAAGGACGCGGAGGGAGCGGCGAGGGGGAAAGAGAAAGAGAAAAGGAGGAAAAACGAGGAGATAGAGGGGTAGGACTGGTGCTGGCGGGGGAGGGGAGCCCTGCGCTAAGGGGTCTGTCAGCGAAGTAACCCCCCCAAAATAAAGTTATTTCAGTTCAGGCATCTGCTCTTGAGTCTTTCTTCCTCCCACAGTCCGGTTCCAGCTCAGGAAAGAAGGCCGAGGAGACTCGGAGGGGGGAAAAGCCGAAGCGGATGGTAAGCGTCCGCGGTGGCACAGCTTCGTTTCCCCCCCACCGGAGGCTGCGAAAGCGGTGGCAGCCTCGGGCGCCTCCCAGCTCCGGGGCAGAGTCGCGTTTGAGGAAAGCAGTAAGAACAAACAACTTAAAATGGCAGCGACGGTCGCTGCGTCACCCGCCCCTCGGCGGCACCGCCCCGAGCCTTCTGCGGCTGCGCGCCCCGCCGGCCTGCACCATCGGCGCAGAAATAAGGGGGAGAAAAGACTTGGAAGTGAAAAGGTATTCAGGGCTATAAAAGAAAGAGGGAAGAAAATCAGGAGGCGATAATAAAAACAAGCTTTTAAATAGGTGGGTCTTTGAAGTTAAGCTTCCCACATCATATTCTTGCCTCTGAGGGGAGTTTGAAAATAGAGATTCCTCTCGCCTACAAACTGGAATTTCCACAGGGCATGGAAAGGGTCTCCCCGCCACTCCCTCCGCCCCTCCTTCAGGATGTCCCAGTCTTGGGTTTGGCTCCGTCCTCCCTTCATGACGTCATAAAAGCACGCCCAATGCCCTCCCTGAAAAAGCACCCGGATGGAGTTGCTCTCAGAGTTTGAAGCCTAATGTTGGGGTGGAGCGGGGGGCGGGGCGGGGGGCGGAGGGAAGCAGGGGGGGGCTGGGATGGGGCGGAGTGAAGGAGAAAAAGGAAAGTGTGCGTTGGCAGATTGCAGAAGGTACTTGTTTCGTTTTATTATCGTTGGTAGACCTTCCCAGAAGGACTCATGCTATTTTGCGATATCAAACTGGAATTTCATTTCCAGTACGTGGAATTTAGACGACGTGCAGTAGAAAATGTCTCACATTAGTCCCACATGGCTCTGTCACCCCCTCCACGTGCGCGACCAGGGAGGGAGGCTCTCTGGCTTTCAACAAGGTCAAAGACACGGTGTAGACGTTGCTGCTATTACTTAGGAGAGAAAAGCAGCCGAGCCTGATACGTGACTACAGTTGGAACACAATTTCTGTTAAGATCCCGGAGGACCTGAGACCTACATCCTGTCCCTCGTGGATCTCTCGTCCTCAAAATGTGAAAAAGGCACAGTGGAACATTTGCCTCTGAATCACACTGTCCTTGACACCAAAGAGTGTTGAGTCCATTTTTCAGAGTTCTGATGTGCTGATAAAAATTCAGTTACATAAGGAATCAGTAAAGGTCAATATTCACATAACCACAACCTGTATACTCCCTACCTGGCTACTCTCTTCGATGACATTTTAGAAATGTAGGCTCCCAAATTACTGCTTTCCACTTAGTGGGGGAAAAAAATGTATTAGCTGTATTTTTTTTTAATCTATAAGCTAAAGAAGGGTAGAACCCACCCTTCAATAATTGTCCAAAACTATCCTAATCCATCCTAACCTTGAAAGATTAAGCTTTTAATGCTGGTGCTTCGGCTTATTTTAATCATGTGACAACTGCAGAAAGGTCACATGGGTAAAACTGAAGCTCTTAAATAGTTTATGACATTTACATGTTATATAGTAAATAAGAGATTGGGAGAATTTTGGTTTGGGGTCAGCCGGCACGAATAGCTCTCAGGACCCCATTTCCAACATAACCAGAGCAAAATGAACTGGACGTGTGACTCAACTGGTAGCCTTCCTGCCTTGCAAACATGAGCCCTTAGTTAGTTCAAACCCCAGTACCATTTTGTAGGAGTTTTTTATTCTATACACAAATGCCTATGTAATATATGATTTGCAAGTATTTTCTTCTGTTCTGCAGTCTGTTTTCACTTTCTTCATAGTATCCTTTACAACACAAAAGTTTTCAATTGTAATGAAGTCCAATTTACCTGCTGTTTCTTTTAGCAATCCTGAGTTCTGAACTCAGGGCTTTGTGCTTGCTAGGCAGGTGCTCTACCACTTGAGCTATGCCCCTGGGTGTTGTTTGGGCTTTTAGTGTCTTTCTAAGACACCACTGAAGAATTTTTACACTATAATATGGGGTAGAGGGGACAAAACAGCTGTAGTGACAGGTGCCTATTCAACTATTCAGGGACTAAGGCAGAAGGATCACTTGAGCTGAACAATGAGCTACCCTGGGCAATCATATCAAAAACAAAACAAATCAAAATTAAAACAAAAAATAGGATAGAGCAGATGTTGAAGGAAAAAATGAAATATTTAGTCTCAGCTACTGTGAAACAGAGGTAGGTACCCAGTAAACTGAACAAAGTCTGCTACACTATGTGCTAAGAGGCTGTGTCAAGTCCTGATGAGATGAGTCAAAAAACAGCAAGGATTATGCCCTGGAGGAAGAAAACAGGTCTAGGTCAATTCCCTCTGCAACTTGGAAAGGCTATAAAATAAGAAGAGCTATCAAAGGAAATAAAAATTGTAAAGCCATGATTATAATGTTCCTTAGTGAAATTCAGATTAAGAAAAGTAAGGAAACTCACTTAAGACTTAGCTTCCCATGCCCAGAGCCAGTGGCCTACCCCGGTAATCCTAGCTACTCAGGAGAGAAATCAGGAGGATTTTGGTTTGAAGCCAGTCTGGGCAAATAGTTTGTGAGACCCTATCCTGAAAAAAACCATCACAATAAAGGGCTGGTGGAGTGTATCAAGGTGTAGTCCTTGAGTTCAAACTCCAGTACTGCCAAAAAAGAAAAAAAGACTTAGCTTTGCCAACTAGGGAAAAAGTACACTTCATTACGTTAGAAATAGCTTCTTTAGAGTTAGGCTGGTTCAAACACAAAGGGGTTTGAGAAGCCATCATGGTGATGTCTTGGCTAAAAATATGATTTATTTCCCTTTGTATGAAATTTTCTTGGTTGAAATGCAGACACAGCAAAGGGTCACCATTTCTTTTCTTGTTCACCCCTAACCCCCACATTGCCCAGGCTGGCCTCAAAGTAGCTGGGTTATCTTTTTTTGTGTGTGATACTGGGTTTTGAACTTAGGGCCTCATGCTTGTTAAGCAGGCACTCTACCACTTGAGCCACTCTGCCAGCCCAACCCTATTTTGTGGTGGGTATTTTTGAGATAGGGTCTTAAGAACTAGTTGCCTGGGCTGGCTTCAAACCACCACCTTCCTGATCTCTGCCTCCTGAGTAGATAGGATTATAGGCGTGGGCCACTAGCACCCAGCTTTCAAAGGGTACATTTTAAATAAAATAATACTTTGTGAAGATTCTGTGCCAGCCTCCTTCCTGAAGAAAAGAATCCAGACCAATCTAGGAGGACTTTCCTTGGTTAACTTCTGACCTTAAGAAAAGCCAACTCTCATTATCCCAACCTCCTACACTTATACCAAGTTAAGAAGTGATTACTCAGTCATGTGCTTATATAGCCTAATTATCTGACAATAAGAGAGCCAATAAAGTATTTAGCAACTGTTCTTTACAATTCTGAAAAGAACCTGTCTTTTACTTTTAAAACTTGTACTGTCTGTACACACATGCTCTTCTACAAAAATCTGGATTTGGGGCTGAGGGTGTGGTTCAAGTGGTAGAGTGCCTGCTTAGCAAAGCCCTGAGTTCACACCCCAGTACCAACAAGAAAAAAAAAATTATTGTGAAATCCAGATTTCACAATATTCCCCCTCCCTTTCATATTTATGATCAGCAAGAATGCTGGGATTTTCAGGAACTTTCAAGTATTTTCTGCATTTTTATCTGAAGTTAATCAGACAAGGGCCTTGATTTAAGGGCATATTAATGATTAATAGTTTAATAAGCATGATAAATATCTATACAAAACAAGTCCATACTCAGATTCTACATGCCTAAAGAACTAGTTCTTATACTCTAAAGTTTGATCTTAAAAGCAGCAGTGCCAGGGACCTTTTCTCCAGATTTCAGTCTTTCAGATTTACTGTCTAAGATAACCATGATAATATGACCTACTGAAATTTCACAGCTCACTCTCTTTCTTTCTTTCTCTCTCTCTCTCTCTCTCTCTCTCTCTCTCTCTCTCTCTGCTTCCAGCTTCCACTTGGCCCCAGCCTGCCCACTTTTGTAATTCCCCTCCCTAACTTTTAATAAACTCCATTACAAAAAAAAATTTTCAAAGTCCATTAGCACATACAGGCACTCCCAACCACAACAGTGCCAAATGGCTAGTATAAATAAAAAGGATAAAAACAAAAAAACAAAAAACCCTAAGTTTGATTTGAGGCCTTTGTTTACCCTTTTTTTGGTGAGGAGGGGGGTTAAGTGAATGATTTGTTCATTTCTTCTTCAGGCTCACCCTAATTTCATATAGGACCTAATTACTGTAGTACTTATTTGCAGGATGATAATTGATTTGTT